ACCGCCGGGAACTATAATTTCTTTACCTTCTTCCAACTGAATAGCTCTACTCTGCATCCCTACCTACACTTGAAAATTTAATAAATTGGCGTCTGGTTATATCACGCCACCTATAGAAAAGAAAACACCAAAATTCGATTACGCTTACCAAAGGAATATCATTTAAAGACTATTCTAGGAACAAAAAGACTTACAGAAAGTAAACACTTTTAATCGTCGGAAGATGAGATCGCAGTGGTCGATAAGAGCTTAAGATGAGAGTGAGAGACATGAATGGAGAAAATGTGTTTAAAAAGGTGAAGGCTTTGGGCGTAGACTGGTGACCATTTTCAGTAAATTAAAACTTTGACATTTCGAAATCGAAAACTCAGTAAGTTGCACAAGGTTAGGTTCCAAAGCCGTCCTAGAGGGAATCTAGAGTCTTTCATCTCTACGATGTTCGGACGAACCGGACCACTAGAGTATAAAGGCATTTAGTTAGAGCTAATCGTATTGATTCATAGTTATTAATGTCATGATTTAGTTTGTATTTCTGGAAGTTGTATTTTGGTTTAATTTTTGTTACATATGCAACTAAATTTTGCGCAAACTTCAAAGTGAAATTCGATTTCTTCTCCTCCACGCACGAGCACTGAGTAAGATATTCCTTTTCTCCAATTTATTAATTCTTAGCATAAAAACAAAAATAATAAGCAAATATGATCATGGTAATTTATTAATTTATATTCAACAACCATGGTTCATGAATCCAACTTTGACAATTCTGTTGTGATGAAGTAAAAACCCGCAATGGACATGTTAAATTGAGAAAATCAGTTATTTATATATATCAAGATAATATAAATCGCAATGAATGCGTTACTTAATTTTTTTTTTGACTGAGAAGGAAAAAAAATTACCAAATGAAATCATAACCGTTATCAAAGATAGTCAAAGGGGAATCCATATATGTTTACGCTTAGCACCAACTTACATCTGAGTTTCATAGCACAAAAAAAGGTTGACCAAATGGTTTTTTAGTTTGTATTTATGAGATTTCTTTTTTTTGTTAAAAGGAATGTTTTTATGAGATTTTTTTTTTTTTTTTAAAGGCATGTATTTATGAGATTTCCTTTTTTTTTTCAATTTTGCAGTCTTTATGATGTTACTATATTTTCAAACAATTTTTATTAAAGAAATTAACATTTGCTTTTGTAAACTCGATCTAGAAGGTTTAAGAATGAAATCCTATATCCTAGATCCATTCTTTCAATATAGGAGAAATAAGACAAAAACTGCGATGAGATTGTTCTTATTAACACTTGCGATTTTAGGTAGCTTTTACAGTAAAGCCAATGGGAAAGTTTCGTTTGATGATATTGATATGAAACTGAATACTCTTAATAAGCCAGCGTTGAAAACCATCAAGGTATGGTTTCAATCTGAATGCAAAGACTTCTTTGTTTATACATTTTTGGTTTATTTCTGAGTTTCCAAAATCGACTATAATTAATTTGTAGAGTGAAGATGGAGATATTATAGATTGTGTAGATATCTACAAACAACATGCTTTTGATCATCCCGCCTTAAGAAACCACAAGATTCAGGTAAAAAATTCGACACATGTATGCCATTTATTTAGTAATTGTATTGCTGAAGTTGATATTTAGAATTTATTTATTTATTTATCCAGATTTTGTAAAGCTATCGTAGCGGTTAAATATCTCTTTTATTGTTATTCATCATCTTTAAATGTAAAAAAAAATGTTTAAAATTTATATTTCTCCTTAGTCTCGTCTCTAGACTTTACCCATTCTACATTAATGCATTGCAGATGAAACCGAGTGTGGAGTTTGGTACAAAGAAGACCACTGTTCCAAACAACGGTACTTCTAAACCAATAACATCTCAGATTTGGTCCAAATCTGGTACATGTCCGGATGGGACAATACCGGTTCGTAGAGTCAGTAGAGAAGACATAAGAAGAGCCTCTTCACCGTCTCACTTTGGAAGAAAAACTCCTCGCACGTACAACTTTCTCGACAGCGCACTTCAACGCAAGGCCAATTCCAATTTAACAGCTGAACTCATATCCCTACCCCGCCAAAAGGACCGATCGGTATGTAGAGTCTAAGGTGTTGAATGTTGTTGTTATTCCGTATTCCGTATTTGGTTTTGAAGTTTTAGTTTTTCATTTTTTCGTTAGGTTTTTGGTTTCACTACGAGATTTTTTCAGGCTTTGAGTTAGGTAGAAAAAAAAAAAAAATTGAATAGATATCACACTAAATCTATGAGCTCTCGTATCTTAAAAACTGCATTACCATTCAAAAGATAAAATCTTAGCTAACCATAAAAAATTTAAACTTTTTTCACACGGCTAATTAGAAACACTTCTTTGTTGATGTCATGATATAGGAGGCGATCCTTCTCACTCTAGGGTACAATTATCTTGGCGCTCAATCCGATATAAATGTTTGGAACCCTCCAAGAGTTCAGCCTCACGACTACAGCTCTGCCCAAATCTGGCTGCTTGGTGGCCTCTCGGGTGAATTCGAGAGCATAGAAGCTGGTTGGGTGGTACGTTTTTTATTTATTTCAGCCCTAGAATTACTATAGCTTGCCTTCCAAGTAAACCGTAAACCAATGGCCATTAAACTATTTCAGGTGAATCCAGGCGTTTTCGGAGACTCGCGCACACGTCTCTTCACCTACTGGACTGTAAGAGTAGCATCATTACATGGCTACCGAGTTTATAAGTATATACATCTCAAATCACTGATGCTTTTAAAAACTACTTTTTTTTTCCTATCTGGGTTGCAGAAAGATTCATACACTAAAACAGGCTGCTTCAACCTCTTATGCTCCGGTTTTGTGCAAACAACTACTAAATTCTCCCTCGGTGCAGCCGTAGAACCTGTTTCGACTACCTCGCATGACCAATATCACATCTCTGTTGGCGTGTTCCTGGTAACATTATCTCGTTTATATATGATCTATCGACATCCTTCACATTCAGAAAAATCATTTACCATATCTAGCTTTCATGTTATATCCTCGACGGTGTTTGCAGGATCCACACACCGGGCACTGGTGGTTGACTATCGAAAACACCGTGGTGGGATACTGGCCGGGGAAACTCTTCTTCTACCTCAAACGCAGCGCCACCGCAGTGCAGTGGGGTGGAGAAGTGTATAGCCCTAACGTGATGAAGAAGCCACACACAAGAACTTCAATGGGAAGTGGACAATGGGCATATGACCTCTTTGGCGAGGCTTGTTTCCAAACCAACATTAGGATCAAAGACAATTCCTTGCAGATCAAGTATCCCGATAATTTGGCAGAGTACTCTGATGAGGTCTATTGCTATTCTACAAAGCTTTACCGGGAAACGTATAAATTAGAGCCCGCTTTTTACTTTGGAGGACCTGGCCAGAATCGTCGTTGTCCTTGACTCCAACCTTTATAGGGCCCAAATCATATATATATATATTAATGCTTTAATCTCTTTAATACAGTTGAGATGAGACCAACTTCTTATCTAGATTAACTGTACTTATCTGAACTTAATTGATGTATAATACAGTTGAAATGAGCCCAACTTCTTATCTCACTCTTTCTTGCTCGTATACCAACTGCTCTTGTCTACTATTGTCTCCGTGTTCTTCCCTTTTCTTTTGGTAAAACTCCGTGTTCTTCCTTTTTGTAAGTAAACTATAGAAACTGGCAAACCCTCCCTAAAAATGGCTTATTCATTAAACAGAGTTGGATTTTGATTGAGTTGGTTCATTGTGAATCCTACTCCCACTAAAATGACCAAAATGGACAAAAAAGAATTGGTATCACCAAATGGACAAATAAGTTTTATATGACCAAAGTGGACTAGAATTCTAAAAAATTCTAAACCATAAACCCAAAAAACTAAACTCTAGACCCAAAAATCTAAACTCTAATTTTTGGGAAAAAACAATGAAACATAATATTTTAATTTTATCTATCATTTATTTAGGGTAAACAAATGTTGTCACAAAACTATTTAGTCTATTTTGGTCATAATAAACTTATGGGTTCATTTTGGTCATTTAAAAGTTTTATTAATTTATTTGATGACATTTCTCTTTATTTCAAGACCAATAATTCTGAATTTTAGTCAACATAGACAAATATTTTGTCATGATTCATAAAGGAAGGAATCCCCCAGTATACAAACTTTATTGAACTGGGAAAGTCCATAGGCAGTAATTACTGTATTCAACTCCAAAAAAAAACATCCCATTGACTCTGTCATTAAAATTTGGTAAGTCAATCTTTCTTTTTCTTCTTGTCAACAATCAATCTTGATTTAAAGCAAAAAATAAGAATACAGTCAAGAATATAAAGTAATTACTGAATTCAATTCAAAACAATAAACAGATTTGACCAGACGTTTGCCAAATCTACATATGGTTTATTAGTTTCTATCTATGATATTTTCTTTATTTCATTTTTTGTGTTTGAATCACACTGATAACAGAAAAGGAAGAAAAAAATTATTTGAATCTGTAAGCTGTATAAGTAGGAGCTAGGTTTTAATATGCAAAGGCCTAAATCATAAATTATTATTTGTATCATTGAAAAACATGACAAAAAAAACAACGATGAGATTGTTCTTAACGTTTGTGATTTTGTGTGGCTTTTACAATGAGTCCTATGGAAATGTTTCGTTTGATATTGATATGAAACTGAAGACTCTTAATAAACCAGCGTTGAAAACTATTATGGTTTGAATCTGAACGCAAAGACTTCTTTGTTTATACATTTTTGGTTTAATTTTGAGTTTCCAAAAGCGAATGTAATTTATTTGTAGAGTGAAGATGGAGATATAATAGATTGTATAGATATCTACAAACAACATGCTTTTGATCATCCTGCCTTACGAAACCACACGATTCAGGTAAAACAATTCTACGCACCCACGGTTTTCATAAAATTGTTTTATAACTCTACACCTACAAATTATATCTTTACCAATTCTACATTGATGCATGCAGATGAAACCTAGTGTGGAGTTTCATGCAAAGAAGACCACTATTCCAGACAACGGTACTTCCAAACCAATTATGTCTCAGATTTGGTCCAAATCTGGAAACTGTCCTTCAGGGACAATACCCGTTCGTAGAGTCAGTAGAGAAGAAATAAGCAGAGCCTCTTCACCATCTCAGTTTGGGAGAAAAACACATCAAAGATACAGTTTTCTCGACAACGCACTTGAACACAAGGGCAATTACAATTTCACCGCTGAAACATCAAACGGAGGCCGCCCATGGAGACATTCGGTACGTTGAATACACCACTTAACGAACCGTACAAACTATATAATATAACAACCTTCATATAATTACCTACAATAAACACTTCTTTGTTGATGATGATACAGGAAGCGTTTGCTGTCGCTCTAGGGTTCAATTATCTTGGAGCTCAATCCGATATAAATGTCTGGAACACTCCGAGAGTTCAAAATGGTGATTACAGCACTGGTCAGATCTGGCTGTTTAATGGCATCGCAAGTACATTTGAGAGCGTGGAAGCTGGTTGGATGGTACGTTCTTTTTCATCCAAAGTATTATTACTTGCAATAGAAGTAAACCGTAAACCAATGGCCATTAAACTATGTCAGGTGAATCCAAGCGTTTTTGGAGACTCCCGCGCTCGTCTCTTCACCTATTGGACTGTAAGAGTTACACCATTTAATTTACATGACTACCGACATTGGAACATCTCAGACACTTCCATGAGCTCATAACTAATCTCTTTTCTATTTGAATTTTCAGGATGATGCATACGATAAAACAGGATGCATCAATCTCCTATGCTCAGGATTTGTGCAAATAACTAGTAGGTTCGCCCTTGGTGCAGCCTTAGACCCTGTTTCGCATACTAATGGTGACCAGTATGAAATTTTCGTCAGCATATTCCTGGTAACAGTTTCTGGTTTATATCATCTTTCACATTCTGAAAAAATGTTTCCGAACGTCCCTTGAAAGATAAATTTATGAAAAAATGTTTCCGAACGTCGTTAAGAAACCCTAAATCTGTGTGTTAGAATGTCAAACACCGAAAGTAGACTAATACCTAACATAGTATTAATTAGTTAATGTTTCATCCTCGACTCGACTGGGTTTGCAGGATCCATACACCCATAACTGGTGGCTGACTTTCGGAAACAACCTGATGGGTTATTGGCCGGGAAACCTCTTCGGACTCCTCCAAGGAAGCGCAACCGCAGTGCAGTTTGGTGGACAAGTCCATAGTCCTAACGTGCGAAAGAAGCCACACACGAGAACTGCAATGGGGAGTGGAGAATGGGCATCTAAACTCTTTAAGAAGGCTTGTTACCATACCAACATGAGGATCAAGGACTTTTCCTTGCATATCAAGTATCCCCAGTGGCTGTCCGAGTACGCTGATGAGTACAACTGTTATTCTACAAAACTCCATCGGGATAGGCCCAACTCAGAGCCGCGTTTTTACTTTGGAGGACCTGGCCAGAATCGTCGTTGTCCTTGAGATGTTCTCAATGTCCTTCAATCTCTACGATTCTTCTCTTATTTTGTTGTTGAGCTAAATTTTGTAAGAAAATATAAATTTTCGGATCATATTACACAAGTTACAAATTGAATATTTGAAAACAAATATCAGTTACTCAAATGATAAGAAATATGAGTATGTTAAACTCTACATTGGAAATCATGAAGATGTCTGGTGATCAAAATACATATTATAAAAAGAACCAAACTAATAAAGATTCATAAGAGAAGGAAGTTTGATTTAATAAGTATCCAAATTTGTTTTAAGACAAAATTTGATAAGGTTTTTAACAAAACACCATAATTTAACCAAATAATATAAATATTTAAAGTTGACCAAGTTTAGAAATAAAATATCTGTTACTCAAATGATAAAGAAATATCTTTTAAAGTCACATATTGGAAATAAAAATGTGTGGTTCAGAAACTTGTTGTAAAAAGAACATTCATACTTGGTAGGTTAATATTTATTTTCATAGCACAGAGATTTGACCAGAAATAAAGACATTTGCCAAATCTGCATATCGATGGTTTTTTCATTTGTATCTATGAGATTTCCTTTTTTCACTTTTTGTGTTTTAATCACAATTGAAAAAGAAAAAAAAAAACATTTTGATTTCGTATGCTCTATAAGGAAGAGGGTCCAAAATTCAAAGCCTAAATCCTAAATTTATTATTTGTAACATAGTAAAATAAGACTAAAGGAGGCGATGAGATTGTTCTTAACGCTTGTGATTTTGTGTGGCATTTACAATGAATCATATGGGAAAGTATCTTCTGATATTGATATGAAACTGAAGACTCTTAATAAGCCAGCGTTGAAAACCATCAAGGTATGGTTGAATCTGAATGCAAAAACTTCTCTGTTTATACATTTTTGGTTTCTGAGTTCCCAAAATCGACTGTATTAATTTGTAGAGTGAGAATGGAGATCTAATAGATTGTATAGATATCTACAAACAACATGCTTTTGACCATCCTGCCTTACGAAACCACAAGATTCAGGTAAAAAAAAAAATCTATTCAATTTATATACTTGGACTTAAAGCAAAACAGATACACCTTGTTCATCATATTCTATTTTCTTCCCTGTGGTGGTAAATGCGATCCGTTATTTTTGGACATCTATTGAAATTTCATATCCAACCAAATATCTGATTTGCTTTATAAAGATTATATTTAAAAATTTAATAAAAATAAATATGTATTTATAAAACAAACTAAGAGTAAATGACAAAATTCATTTAATTTTTCAAAAGACAATTGCAACTTAATAAAAAGAGATAGTTTGCAATTAAATTAAATAAAACTATTTGGTTTATAACTCTACACTAAATATATATACACCTTACAAATTATTTCTTTACCAATTCTACACTGATGCATGCAGATGAAACCTAGTGTGAAGTTTGATGCAAAGAAGACTACTATCCCAAACAACGGTACTTCGAAACCAATTACGTCTCAGATTTGGTCCAAATCTGGAAACTGTCCCAAAGGGACAATACCGGTTCGTAGAGTCAGTAGAGAAGACATAAGCAGAGCCTCTTCACCGTATCATTTTGGGAAAAAAACTCATCAAAGATATAGTTTTCTCGACAAAGCACTTGAACACAAGGGCAATTTCAATTTAACCGCTAAAAAGAGAAACCAAGGCGGCCCACAGACACGATCGGTACGTTGAATACACCCCTTAACTAACCGGAAAACTACATACAGCCTTCATATGTTACCTAGAAACACTTCATCATCTTTGATGATGTTATAGGACGCGGTCATTGTCGCTCTAGGGTTCAATTTTCTTGGAGCTCAATCCGATATAAATGTCTGGAACCCTCCAAGGGTTCAGGCTGGCGACTACAGCACTGCTCAGATCTGGCTGTTTGCTGGCATCTCAGATACATTTGAGAGCATAGAAGCTGGTTGGATGGTACGTTTATTTTTTCATCCTAAGCATTATAACTTGCATTAGAAGTAAACCGTAAACCAATGTCCATTGAACTATTTCAGGTGAATCCAGGCGTTTTTGGAGACTCACGCACACGTCTCTTCACCTATTGGACTGTAAGAGTTACACCATTTACATTACTACCGACATACATTGGAACCTCTCCAACACTTCCATGAGTTCATAACTAATCTTTTCAATTTTGGTTTTCAGAGAGATGCATACACTAAAACAGGGTGCATCAACCTTTTATGCTCCGGATTTGTGCAAACAACGACTAAGTTCGCACTGGGTGCAGCCATAGAACCTGTTTCACGTATTTCGGGTGACCAATATTCCATCTTCGTTAGCATGTTCCTGGTAACATTTTCTTGTTTAAGATTATATATGAGTATATGATCATCTTTTTGGACCAATGGCATAAGAATTGGACCGGAGCCTGTAAACTCTCTATCTTTAGTTCATGTTTCATCCTCGTCTCGACTGTCTTTGGCAGGATCCAAACAGCGGGAACTGGTGGCTGACTTGCGGAAACAACGTGATGGGTTACTGGCCGGGGACACTCTTCAGCAACCTGAAACACAGCGCAACCGCAGTGCAGTGGGGTGGAGAAGTCAATAGTGATAACGTGGGGACGAAGAAGCCACACACGAAAACTTCAATGGGGAGTGGAGAATGGGCCTCTGACTTCTTTGGCGAGGCCTGTTTCCACACCAACGTTAGGATCAAAGACTATTCCTTGCAGATCAAGTATCCCCAGTATCTGTCCGAGTACGTTGATGAGTACAATTGTTATTCTGCAAAGCTCCATCGGGATACGTACATCTCAGAGCCGCATTTTTATTTTGGAGGACCTGGCCAGAATCGTCTCTGTCCTTGACATGTTCTCAATGTCCCATTCTGTAGTCCAATTTATATGTTGGAAAATGCAAAGTCAACTTATATATACAAGACATATAAATCAACATAATGCAAAATAAAAGAAAATTAATAATTTCTTTGATCAGTAAAAATTATAAAAAAATTCGAAAGATTACTTTTCATAGAAACTTAATATTATGAAAAGTAGTAGTACTGGAACCTATTTTCACGGCAGTCTTTAGGACTGGGTAAAATTTCCGAATATTAGAATTAACTATAGTAATCCAAATTCATTACTAATTAATATTTTAAATTATATACAAATATTTTAAAATATAATAATTGATACAATTTGATCTAAAAAATGCTATTTTAAAAAATCCAAATATCCAAATAGTTGAATTAATTTAGAATATAAATCATTCATATTTGGTAAGTTAATATTTCTTTCTTCATACCACAATCTCATAGTTAAATGACAATCGATGGATTTTTTAATTTTTGTATCTATGAGATTTCCGTTTTCTCAATTGTTGTGTTTTAATTACATTGATAACAGACCAAAAAAGTAAGCATTTGGTTTTGTAAGCTCTATAAGTAAGAAGGTCCAATATTCAAAGCATATATCCTAAATTTATTATTTGTAACATTGGAAAACTAGACAAAAAAAAATAAAAATAAAAAAAACGGCGATGAGATTGTTCTTAACGCTTGCCATTTTGTGTGTCCTTTACAATGAAGCCTACGGGAAAGTTTCTTTAGATGTCGATGTGAAGTTGAAGACTCTTAATAAGCCAGCGTTGAAGACCATCAAGGTATGGTTTAAGTCTGAATGCAAAGATATTACTTCTTTGTTTTTTTTTTCTGGTTTCTGAGCTCCCAAAATCGATTGTAATTTATTTGTAGAGTGAAGATGGAGATATAATAGATTGTATAGATATCTACAAACAACATGCTTTTGATCATCCCGCCTTAAGAAACCACAAGATTCAGGTAAACAAATTCTACACACCCACAGTTTTCATATTCAAATTATATAGCTACGTCTTAAAGCAAAGCAGATATCATTACTTTTTTCTTTCTTGTGGTAAATGTGATCCGGTATTTTGTTTAGATCATAAGTATTCGATTCTTGTATGTTTTGTAGCTAATAGGAATATTTTCTGTTGACAAAAGGAAAAAGCGCTAATTGGTATTTTGATAACCATTAAAATTTGATATCCAACTAAATAACTGATTTGTTCTAGGAAGATTATTTGAAAATTTAAAAATTATAAATAAAAATAACCGAGAGTAAATGGCAAAAAAATCATTTCAATTTTTTCTACAAAAAATATTTGTTTGAATTTAATTAATTTAAGAAAAATATATAGTTTTGCAATTAAATTGTAAAAAAAAAAATTAATGTATCTACACTATAAATATATATACCTGCCAATTATTTCTTCACCAATCTTAAATTATGCAGATGAAACCTAGTGTGAAGTTTAGTACAAAGAAGACCACTATTCCAAACAACCGTACTTCTAAAGCAATTACATCTCAGATTTGGTCCAAATCTGGTACATGTCCGGTAGGGACAATACCGGTTCGTAGAGTCAGTAGAGAAGAAATAAGCAGAGCCTCTTCACCATCTCATTTTGGGAAAAAAACTCATCGAAGATACAGTTTCCTCGACAAAGCACTTGAACACAAGGGCAATTTCAATTTCACCGCTGAAAAATTCGGCCACACACAGAGACATTCGGTACGTTGAATACACCCCTTAACTAACCGTACAAACTATATAATATGATAACCATCATATAATTACCTAGAAACACTTCATCTTTGTTGATAGGAAGCGTTCGCTGTCGCTCTAGGGTTCAATTTTCTTGGAGCACAATCCGATATAAATGTATGGAACCCTCCGAGAGTTCAGGCTGAGGACTACAGCACTGCTCAGATCTGGATGATTAGTGGCCTCTCAGATACATTTGAGAGCGTCGAAGCTGGTTGGATGGTACGTTATTCATCTATATATTCAGTAAAAAACAAAAAATAAATAAAAAAGCATGCTATTCTTTGCATAAGAAGTAAACCGTACCGTACACGGTAATGGCCATTAAACTATTTCAGGTGAATCCAGGCGTTTTTGGAGACTCACGCACACGTCTCTTCACCTACTGGACTGTAAGAGTAACACCATTTACATTACTAACGACATTGGAACATCTCAAACTCCCATGAGTTCATAACTAATCCGTTCTATTTGGATTTGCAGAAAGATGCATACACTAAAACAGGGTGCATCAACCTCTTATGCTCCGGATTTGTGCAAACATCTGCTAAGTTGGTCCTGGGTGGAGCAGTAGAACCCATTTCAAGTACCTCCGGCGACCAGTATCAAATCTTCGTTAGCATGTTCCTGGTAACATTTGCTGGTTTATATATGATTCACATTCTGGAAAAAGCTGTTTCCGAGCACCTTGACATAAAAATGTATGTAAAAAAAATTTGTGTGCCCAAAGTTGTCGTTAAAAATCTGAAACCTAAAGCTATGTGTTAGAATGTCCAAGTAACGTAACACCGAAAGGGTTAATGTTAACATGACTTTAGTTTTAGGTAATGTTTCATGCTCGACTGTGTTTGCAGGATCCAAACAGCGGGAACTGGTGGCTGACTTGGGGAAAGAACGTGGTGGGTTACTGGCCGGGGACACTCTTCAGCTATCTCAAACACAGCGCAATCGCAGTGCAATGGGGTGGAGAAGTCAATAGTGCTAACGTGGGGAGGACGAAGCCACACACGAAAACTCCAATGGGGAGTGGACAATGGCCATCGTACCTCTATCGGGAAGCTTGTTACCATACCAACCTTCGGATCAAGGACTATTCCTTGCAGATCAAGTATCCCCAGTATCTGTCCGAGTACGTTGATGAGTCCAACTGCTATTCTACAAAGCTCAATCGGGATACGTACATGTCAGAGCCGAAACTTTTCTTTGGAGGACCTGGCCAGAATCGTTTCTGCCCTTGACATGTTCTCAATGTTCGTTCTCTTTTTGTTGGTCCAATTTATATGTTGGAATTGCAAAGTCAACTAACATATATATAGGACATATAAATCAACATAATGCAAAAAAAAATATAAAAAAAAATTCATGATTTTCTTTGATTAACAAAAATTATAAAGAAATTCGAAAGATTACTTAAAATAAGGAAAAGTAGTAGTAAAACCTTCCTTAGAAGATCAAAGCAGGTGTACTCTGAAGGCTTTTATAATTAATCATATTACATTCAATAAATGTAAGTACTACAAGAAACATTTGACTTGTGTGTTTATATTAAACAAGGACGAGCTCAATTTTGCTGAGAAAATCCACAAAACTAACACCAGTGATAAGTTGAAAATCCACAAAACTAACACCAGTGATAAGTTGAACTGGAACCTATCATTTTCACGGCATTCTGTATTGGGCAAAATTCCTAAACCTATCCAAATTCTTGAACTGGAACACGAGAATGTAAACTCGAACGGAGTAGAGTTTTTCTACATCAAATTATTCAAACTCGAACCTAATGGAATCCGAATATTAGAATTAACTAAACTAATCGAAATTCATTACTAATTAATATTTTAAATTATATACAAATATTATGAAATATAATAAAATTGATACAATTTGATCTCAAAAAATGTTATTTTAAAAAGTACAATATCTAAAAAGTTTAATTTAGAATATAAATCATTCATATTTGGTAAGTTAATATTTCTTTCTTCATAGCACAATCTCATAGTTAAATGACAAAACGCTTGCCAAATCTGCAGATCGATGGATTTTTTAATTTGTGTATCTATGAGATTTCCGTTTTCTCAATTGTTGTGTGTTAATTACATTGATAACAGACCATTAAAACAAAATATTTGGTTTTGTAAGCTCTATAAGTAGGAAGGTCCAATATTCAAAGCATATATCCTAAATTTATTATTTGTTAAATAGGAAAACTAGACAAAAGAAGAAAAAAATGGCGATGAGATTGTTCTTAACGCTTGCCATTTTGTGTGGCCTTTACAATAAAGCCTATGGGAGAGTTTCTTTAGATATCGATGTGAAGTTGAAGATTCTTAATAAGCCAGCGTTGAAGACTATCAAGGTATGGTTTAAGTCTGAATGCAAAGATATTACTTCATTGTTTTTCCTTTTCTGGTTTCTGAGTTCCCAAAATCGATTGTAATTTATTTGTAGAGTGAAGATGGAGATATAATAGACTGTATAGATATCTACAAACAACATGCTTTTGATCATCCCGCCTTAAGAAACCACAAGATTCAGGTAAATAAAATTAAATTGGTAAATAAAATTAATTAATTTATATCTCTACACAATAGATATATGTATACCTACAAATGATTTCTTTACCAATTACTACATATATATATGCAGATGAAACCTAGTGTGAAGTTTATTACAAAGAAGACTACTATTCCAAACAACGGGACTTCTACAGCAATTACATCTCAGATTTGGTCCAAGTCTGGCAGATGTCCGGTAGGGACAATACCAGTTCGTAGAGTCAGTAGAGAAGACATAAGAAGAGCCTCTTCACCGTCTCATTTTGGGAAAAAAACACATCGAAGATACAGTTTTCTCGACAAAGCACTTGAACACAAGGGTAATTTCAATTTTACCGCTGAAAAAATAGACCAGAAACAGAGACATTCGGTACGTTGAATACACCCCTTAACTAACAGTACAAACTATATCATATGATAACCATCATATAATTACCTAGAAACACTTCATCTTTGTTGATAGGAAGCGTTCGCTGCCACTCTAGGGTCCAATATTATTGCAGCACAATCCGATATAAATGTATGGAACCCTCCGAGAGTTCAGGCTGGGGACTACAGCACTGCTCAGATCTGGATGATTTCTGGCACCTCAGCTACATTTGAGAGCATCGAAGCTGGTTGGATGGTACGTTTTTCATCTTGAGCATGCATGCTATTCTTTGTATAAGAAGTAGACCGTAAACCAATGTCCATTAAACTATTTCAGGTGAATCCAGGCGTTTTTGGAGACTCACGCACACGTCTCTTCACCTATTGGACTGTAAGAGTAACACCATTTACATGACTAACGATATTGGAACATCTCCATGAGTTCATAAGTAATCGTTCTATTTGGATTTGCAGAAAGATGGATACACTAGTACAGGGTGCTTCAACCTCTTATGCTCCGGATTTGTGCAAACATCTGAGAAGTTGCTCCTGGGTGGAGCCGTACAACCCGTTTCAAGAACCTCCGGCGACCAGTATCAAATCTTTGTTGGAATGTCCCTGGTAACATTTTTTGGTTTATATATGATTCACATTCTAAAGAAGGCTGTTTCCGAACACCTTGAAAGATTAAAAAATTATGGTTTTTCCTTATGGTTTCTTTGTTAATGTAAAAATATTTGTGTGCCCAATAAGTTGTCGTTAAAAAATCGGAAACCTAAAGCTATGTCTTAGAATGTCCAAGTAACGTAACACCGAAAGTAGACTTAATTATATCTAAGGGTTAATGTTAACATGACTTTATTTTTCGGTAATGTTTAATCCTCGACTGTGTTTGCAGGATCCAGCCAGCGGGAACTGGTGGCTGAGTTGCGGAAAGAACCTGGTGGGTTACTGGCCGGGGACACTCTTCAGCTCTCTCCAACACAGATCAGGATTAGTGAAATGGGGTGGAGAAGTCAATAGTGCTAACGTGGGGATGACCAAGCCACACACGAAAACTGCAATGGGGAGTGGACAATGGCCATTACACCTCTTTCGCGAAGCTTGTTACCATACCAACATTAGGATCGAGGACAGTTCCTCGCAGATCAAGTATCCACAGTATCTATCCGAGTTCGCTGATGAGCCCAACTGTTATTCTACAATGCTCCATCGGGATACGGACACGTCAGAGCCGAAACTTTTCTTTGGTGGACCTGGCCAGGGTCTTGTCTGTCCTTGATCTCATGTTTCATGTTTTCAATCTTCATTCTCCATTTGTTTTTTGTTTTTTGTTTTTTTTTTTTTTTGTTGTCTCTTCATTCTCCATTTGTTAGTCGAGTTTATATGTTGGAATTCGCAAACGACATAATGCAAAATAAAAATTAGTGAATTTCCGTGATCAACAAAAACATGAAACTATGAAAAGTAGTTTGTGATCTTCTCAACTTTTTCTAGTGGTTTTATTTTTTTAGTTTTTCAATAACCTGAATTACGGAATATAAAACGGTGACGTTTTATTAGCGGCGAAAGATTCCTAACTTATTACAACAAAACCATGGAGGCCCCACAGAATCAAGGTGGCATTGTTTTTTTTTCTCTTCTTCTAAATATCTCACCGGACTTTAACGAGCAAATCGCGACCCGTCTCTCTCTCTCTCTCTCTCTGCCCTGAAAACTGAAAGATCAAACGCCACGTCGGATGGAAAACCGGTCTGAAATGGGCAACCGGAGACAGCAGAACCTCTTCCTCGTCGGTTCTCCGGACGAGATTGATAAGATCAGGCGAGCGGAAACTTCCCAACAAGGTGTTTTCTATTTTCCTCTTTCTCCACCTCTCAATCTTCTGAGAAAAAAAAAAATCTTTTAAATCTAACCCATAATGAGAGGAAACTGATTTTGGGTATTTGAATTTGATCGAATAGCCGGAGCTATTGCCGGAGCTAAGGCAGCAGCCGTTGCCGCCGTCGCCAGTGCGATCCCTACGGTAATTTATTCCATCTCACTTCTCAGATCGTTGTTCAATATTTCACATGATCTCCTAGATTCGTTATCACTTATTCAAAACCATATTTTGATCATTGAAAAAAACTTATTTTGGAAAGTCGAATCGTAGCTAACCAAGCCGTTGTTTGAAAATTGAGATATGAAATGAGTTTTGACCTGACTTGTCTGTTTCTTTGTTGTTTGATTTTGTGACAAAGAGACTCAATAATCTGATGTCCTAAGTGATGCTATGGACAAAGTTTAAGTTTTGTTTCACCTTCATAATTTTTTTGTGAAGCAATGGGTGGATGATTTAGTCTTAGCAACTAGAGTCGCATTCTTTTTTGATTTTGTGTGTATATTATATGAATTGAAACATAAAACCTGAGCCTGGCCCGCTTCCCTAACAGATGGCTGCGGTTCGTGTGTTCCCATGGGCGAAGGCAAACCTCAACTACACTGCTCAGGCACTCATTGTATCTGCAGGTTTGTCTATTAACTCTCCCTTGAACATTGTTGCAGAAGCCTCGGACTTTTTTATTAAAACTGGAACTTTTGAAAATGGCATCAACATCACTAACATGCCAACATTACTATGTTAGTTTAGGGAGGATTGATGAGTCTAGGGTTTTGATAAACTTTCTTTCCCAACTTTTTTTTGTCTCCACAAAGTTTGTGTTACTTTCTTGATTCCTGGCTCACAAAAGTTTAAAATCTTGTGAAATGGTGATCATTGGAACAGCATCCATCGCTGCATTCTTCATAACTGCAGACAAAACCATTCTACAAGGCGCAAGAAGAAACACAGAGGCTCAGTTAAAGAAAGCTCAGGAAAACTCTAAATAATTGCTTCTTATGTAACTTAACTCAATCACACATCATCTTTCTTTGTCTCTGTGTATGCAATTTTTTTGCCTTTGATTTGAAATAAAGAGAGATTACAAAGTATAGCAAACTTATAAAGACCATTTTCTTTCTGTCATTCTGAAAATAAAATGACTTATTTCAAATAACTAACAAGATAGCAGTTATGCTCTTGACGAAAGCTACGATATTTCTAGTTGATACAAGCCTTTACACAACACATTCGAGTAAAAAGTCTAAAAGGTTTCTAAATACATATATACATTCTCTATCTCCCCCAAAAAAACAACCTTAAAGTTGTGATTATTGATTATACAAAACCTAAATCTTCATCTTCTACCCTTTTACTCGTCCTCCGACCCGATAAACTAACGAGTAGAGGTGCTTCATGCGCCTCTGTCGCAGTCTTTTTGGTCGCCCCAAGTCCTTGTTGGCGAAGAACATACAAGACCTCCTTCATGGTAGGTCTGTGACTAGGCAATGTATTAGTACACATAAGACCTAGCTTAAACACAGTCGTCATCTCCTCAGTCTTGGAAGCTTCTTTGATGTCCTCATCAAACGCCTCTGCCGTCGGTTTCCCAGTTTGGTAATGTCTCCACGACCAATCTGCCAAGTTCGTGTGCTCATCTCCGTTGTTTCCTTCTCTCCCCGTCACCAGCTCAAGCAAAACCACACCGAAGCTGTACACATCGATCTTCTCATCCACCTTTGATGTATATGCGTATTCTGGAGCAATGTAACCGAAGGATCCAGCAACAGCTGACATGGTATGAGGTTGTTGGTTTTGCTTAACCAACATTTTAGCCAAACCGAAATCAGCAATCTTGGCGTTGAATTCGTAATCGAGCAAGATGTTGCTCGACTTGACGTCTCTGTGTATGATCGCCGGAGTGCAATCATGATGCATGTAGCAAAGTCCTTGAGCTGCTCCAACCGCAATATTCAACCTCCGTGACCAGTCCAGGTTGTTATTATTGGTCTCTACAGTGCCTCTCTTCTTCTTTCCATGTAGCCATTGGTCCAAGCTTCGTTTCTCAAGATACTCATACACAAGAAGCTTCGAATCCTCTCTAGAGATACAACAGAGTAGTTTCACTATATTCGCGTGTCTTATAGTTCCAAGAATCTCAACTTCAGCGATGAACTCTTTCTCAACGTTCTTGTCGAGCTTCTTGTTGTCCCATATCCTCTTCACCGCCACGTATTGGCCTGAGGATTCGATGAAAATCTTGTAAACTTTTCCCGATCCTCCACTTCCGATCACGTTGTGCTCCATCAGATTCGTCAAGATGTTGGATTCGGCGAAATCTACTCTGTGGAAGGAAGTTAGTTTCCACGTCTCTAAGCCTCTCTTTCTTCTTCGCTTCCTTGTGTAGTCTCTGATCACAAAGAACGTGACGAGGAGAGTGATGGCGAGAAGAAGAACGGCGATGGCTAGAATCATGGCGAGGATTTTCCCCGGCACTCCTTTTGAGCTCCCGAGCATTTTCCGGCAATCCGGTAAGTTGATAACCGGTTTGTCTGCGCAGAGATTGGAGTTGTTTAAGAAGCTTCTCTCGTAGGCGAGATTATCAAGTTGGTTTGGGATTTCTCCGGTGAGCTTGTTTGATGATAGATCAAGCGTTGTGAATTTTAATTTCCCGATCTCCGGAGGGATTACGCCGGAGAGTTGGTTCACCGATAGATCGAGATTGACCAAGCCTGGCAACGATCCTAGAGCTCTCGGGATTTTCCCGGAGAGCTTGTTCCTGGATAGGTTTATCGTTATCAAGGACTTCCATGAGATGATCTCATCTGGTAATTCGCCGGAGAGATTGTTGGAATCGAGGAAGATGGTTAGGAGATTTGAGAGAGATGTGATTTCCTTTGGGATCTCACCGGAGAACCGATTGTTTCCGGCTTTGAAGACAGCTAGAGAAGACCAAGTCCCGATTTTCTTCGGAATCTCTCCGGAAAATCGATTGTTATCGATCTCGATCCTCGAGAGGTTCCAAGCAACTGTCTCCGGTAATTTTCCGGTGAAGGAGTTGTTAGTCAGCATCAAACTATACAAATCTAAAGCGGACCAGATCCGGGAAGGAAATTCGCCGGAGAAGTTATTGTTTTGTAGCTGAACGGTGAGGAGGGATCCACAATCCCCGAGCGACTCCGGGATATCTCCGGTGAGATTGTTAGAGTATACAACAACGCCCAAAAGCTTACCTCCCTTGCACAAATTCTCCGGCAGTTTTCCGGTTAACTGATTCTCTGACACTTCGAACCCCTCTAGCTTCGAATAAAACCCGAAATCCGCCGGTATTTCTCCGGTTAACTTGTTGGTGAAGAGTCTCAGCTCCTTCAAACCGGGTAATTTTCCGATAGCCGGCGGGATTTTTCCGGTTAACTGGTTGTTGAACAGGTTTAGAAACTCTAGTTTCGTTAGATTGCCGATTGCTTCCGGAATCGAACCGGTCAAATTGTTCACGGAGAGATCAAATTCCACGAGGTTCGTCGCCGAAATCGATTTGGGGATCTCTCCGATTAGGTCATTTGCGTAGAGAAGGAGAGCGGTCAGATTCTTCAACCCGAATAAGACGTCTGGGATCTGACCCGATAACTTGTTATCTGCCAAGTCAACGTGCTCGAGAGCCGTCATGTTCTCGAAAACAACGGCCGGGATTTCACCGATTAGATTCATCTCTGTGAACCACAAGAACTTCAGTTTCTTCAATTTCCCAAATTCCGTCGGAATCTTCGCCGGCAAAAACCTGTCGTTTAACGCCAAACGGAGTTCTTCGAGCTCCAGCAAGTCCCCGATCTCCGACGGAAACGTACCGTCGTAATCGCTCTGGTAGAGATTCAGAACCTTGAGCTTCGAAAGCAGACCGATCTTCTTCGGGATGTTGCCGGAGAAGCCGTTAGCCGCGAGGTCGAGATGCTCGAGTTCTCGTGAGAGACGGTCGATGTCGGCGGGAAGTGTGCCGTTGAAGTTGTTCTGGGAGAGATCGAGATGCTGAAGCTTCGTGCAGTTGTAAAGAACGGTCGGAAACTCGCCGGGGAAGTAGTTAAACGACAAATTGAGGAAACCGAGATTCGGGAAATCGCATATCGTCGCCGGAACTGCCGCGGTGAAGTTCTGGTTCCCGAAATTTATCCCGGTGACGTTTCCGTCGACGCAGGTGATCTCCGACCAATCGCACGGAGAAGAAGTGTCGTTCCATAGCCGGAGAGACGGTGGGTCTCCGAACTCGCGTTTCAGGTTAAGAAGCGTTGACCGTTCATTGAGCTGCGAAATTACAGCAAAGGGCATTGACGTGAGAAAGAAGAAGAGGTAGGATAAGGGTAAAAGGGTCATTCTAATATTTTGGTTTGTTGAGGTTTTTGCCGGGAAATTCGGCAAACAGAGTTTGACTGAGAAATGAATACAAGTTCGACGAAGTTACCTTTAATATAGAAAGCGTGTTTAGGTGAAGTGAACGATTAGGTGTTTTAAATCTATAAAGGGGTTTGAATTTTCCGTACTCGTTACGTCATTATTATTTTTTTTTTTTAACATCACGTCTAATCGGATTAGTTCTATCTCTAGATTGTTTGACGATAAGTGTATACAGTAGAACCTCTATAAAACAATACTCGATAAAACAATAAACACTATAAGATAATAATTTTTTCCGGTCCCAACTCGGGCCAATGTAAAAAATAGCATAATGCGATAAGATGATAAGACAATAATATTTTTGAAACTCCTATGTAAAAATATAGTCCCAACAATAAGCTAAGATAATAATTATAAAACTAATGCATATATATCTAAGACAATTTAGTAAAATATGACTCCAATGTAGTTTGTCTTTTCTGAAATTGGATTCCCGTTGGAGCTCATCTCGAATTTTTCTTATTGCATCTACAATTTCTGAGGTGTATTCTCAACATGCAGCCAAAAGTTGTGAAGAGTTCTCGAAGCCACAATTGCATCCTTACGTGTAACTACTTGCACATGTCCTTCCTCATCATCTTCAACTTCATCTTCACCATTAAGAACAGTAGACATAATTTCTTATAGACTTTGAACTTCTGAGCATGAAATATGTAAATAACAAAGTATAAGGAAAATTTGAATAAAAAATCTGAAAAAATATATTTCTATAAAGTTTCTTGTTTTTGATAGAATATTTCTATAAAATAATAATTATTGTTTTATCGATAAAATAATAATTATTGTTTTATCGATAAAATAATAACTCTATAAGATAATAAAATTTCAAAGTCCCAACATTATTGTTTTATAGAGGTTTTACTGTATGGTGTTTTTATCACACAACTAGCATAAACTATCGGCTTGTGTATTCGGTTTGATTACTAGATTAGATATTATGACAATTGTCTTTGTTTATTTAGGATGAGTGATGGAGAAAAATTTATATATCTAGAATAATTATATGACTTCACTTATTATTATTCAACAGTTTACAAAATTTGACAATGTTATGTACACAGTACACCTGAATATTAAATTTTACTAAACATTCATCTCCATTGAATAAAACTTAAAGCTAGTAGTAAATATGGTAAAAGAAGAAACAAGAAACAGAGTCTCCGCCAATGATATAATTCGGTGCTTCTAGTTCTAGAACACTTGACAACGGGAAAGATGGAGTGTGTTAAAATGCTATTGCTAACCTAGGAAAGCTCAATTCAAACACGCGAGCATTATAAAATGAGACAAAAATTTCTCGAGTAATTAATACCCCCACCTTATTTCTCTGAAATATATTTGTGCCATTTGAAAAGTCTGAAAGTAAAGTCAAAGATATGTACAGTTTTGAATATGATTATAAAATTAGTCACCAAATCTCTATTGGGTTTTGTTCTATTGTGCTTCTTAAACGATGTAGTTTTTCTTTTATCTTTAATCCATACTGGAGAAAACTGGGTTTGAATCTAGATTGTGCTTGAACATCATATCTAACTAAAGATCACCTTGGACGACTATATTGGAAAGTGTTACTTTTCGAATCCCTTCTAGTATCAATGGTAGAAAATTTATATACTTTACAATAAAATATGATCCAACTAACAAGCTTTTAGTGGTAAAATTTATTTAGTTGACCCAAACTAAGTCGTTAAGATGCTAATACTACCACTACTTGTGCTTGTGGCAGACAGGGAAAACATGTAAATTTCCAGCTTTCACAACTAAAACAAAACAAAAATTGTTACTATTTAATTTTGTTTAGTTGGAAATTATCCCTTTTGTTTGTTCGTTTAATAGTTCTTGACATCTTCCTATATTCCGTTACCTTTGAATGGTTTTGCCACTCTATGCGAAACCAAATTTCCATCACCAAAAGCAATATTTGTCTTTGCAAACCAAAATACAAAAGTTTGGTTTAGTTTTGATGGAGCAAACTAAAAAAAACAAATAATTCAATGGAGTATGTTAGAGGATCTCGCCATAATAAACTATTACACGTATGTCAGTATGTGTATCTTAAAGTCTGTGATACATTAGTTGTTTTTATATTCACACGTTGTTCTATTTTGAACGTTGACTCTTCAAATCAACGGGCTGAAAATTCCAGAAGAGATAGATAGTTTATATGCGGATCCCTTGTGTTCTTGATTTTAGGTGTCCCTACAACGTGTCAATGTCAAGGCTATCGAATCATATTGTTTTGGTAAAAGACTCATCACATGTTTGTATTCTTGTGAAATTCTTTTTTACTTCTTTAACAGTAATCGGACAAAAATAACACCCTTTTAAAATTATAGTATCAGCAGCCTTTAGCTCTCTGCAGTGTGAATACGCATAGATCAACAAACAAAAGGTTAGCAAACTTTTTTGGTTTTCGTATAATTCCAAATATAAAATTTTAGAGATCATATTTCATATGACACGGCAAGATAACATTATTAGAGTTGAATGTAACAAACATCCAAACCAAAAGAGTAGAGAATGTAAATAGCGATCTCTTAAAAGTTAAAACAGACAAAATAATCCCAAAGTAAAACCAAAAGAAAGAAAGAAAGAGAAACATCTCTTAAGAAGAAGGCCTTGGATTGATGATAGCCATGAGAGGATAGAGCTTCTGAGAGGTCAAGCCATAAGTATCCACATTCTCTTCTTCGCCATCTCTAAGCTTCCATTCAAATTCTTGAACCAATCTCGCAATAGCAATCCCTGCCATGAGAGATGCTTGAAGTGCACCAGCACAAACCCTCTTCCCCGCTCCAAACGCCATCGTCTTGTGCAGATCCGAAGTATCATACCTGTCATCCAAGAACCTCTCCGGCCACCATTCCTCTGGCCTCTCCCAACGGTTCTTATCCATGTTGCATCCATAGATGTTTATTGCTATCTGCACAATCAAGATCCCAAACTACACTTTATAACTGAACTTCAAAACATGAAATGACTCTGTTATCAGCATTTTTTACCTCACTTCCTGCAGGGACATGATAGCCTCCGATTTGAGTATCTTCGTGAGCATAGCGAATGGGAACAAGAGGAGCCGGACTGTACTTCCTAAGAGTTTCATGGAAGATTCCATTGACATAAGGAAGCCGAGGCAAATGCTCTTCTTTGATCTTTTCTCCTCCGCAGACACTTTTGATTTCTTGACACAGACGTTCTTGAACATGTTGATGCTTTGCTAGCTCATAAATGGCCCATTCAGTTGTGACCAGAGTAGTGTCAGCTGTCTCGATGATCGTCTCCCAAACCAAGATTGCAATTTGCTCCATGGTTAGTGCTTTCGCTTCCGTCATCAAGAAGTTGAGATAGCAATCATCATCCTGTTTCAAAGTAGAAATCAATCAGATCAGAAGAGTAGCAGTAAGGCAATAAACTGAAGACAATTAAACAAATCATGTACCGTTTCTGATTCATTCTGCTTCAGACGATCTTGGATTAGAGCATTCATCACAGCGAGTCTGCGTTTATGCTTCTGCTGGATTCTTGCTTCAAAGATTTTGTTTGGAACCCATTTCAAGTATGGGAAGAAGTCTCTCCAGTCAACATCAATTGCACCTTCCATCATGTCATGTACTAGAACCTTGAAGATCTCGTCTTTCGACATAGTCACACCGAGTTCCTCCACATAAATGGATTCTACATCTTTCCCAAAGGCCTGTGAGAAAGAACAAAAACACATTTTCATATTTTCTCTTGCACAAACAACTAATAGAAATGTGTGTTGAAATACTCACTTGCTTCAAGGCTACTCCAAAAAGCTCATGCTCGAATATAGCCCTGAAGTTTACAGGTTCTTCCGGATGCTCCCTCGTGTGAGCATGCAGCTTGGAAGTCACATTCTCAATGAGGGCATCTCTGTAGTGTCTTTTCCGTTTCTGTTAAAAAAACACACAAAACTTGATTCAGTTTGCTACAAAGGATATTGAAGAGAAGCTGTGGGGATAAATGAACTGCGAATTCACCTGTGCATTTGCACCTAAAAGGCCATTCAAGATACAACGTTTAGCGGATCTATGGAAATCATCATAATCACTCGTAGCAACCATGGATTTGTTGCAAGTGAGGACTGTCAAAGCATTTGATAGCTTTCTTGTTGAGATTGATGAAAACCGAGTCACCATGGCCTGAAAAACAAAAAAAGACATGAAGAACACACTATCAGAGAGAGTCCATCAACAACTCCGCTTTCCACATCAGCAAATCAGTTCAGATTAGTATCATATAAAATAAGAGCTAGATCATGAGAGCTCTTCAACAAATCTTGAGGACAATTCAAGATCCATAAAGGAAGGATTTTGTAACATTTCATAAGGAGTCAAATCCCAAACCAATGAGCCAACCATTGAATTTGATATCTATAATGCCTTACGAGTTCTGAAAATCAGTACAGTCCACAGAAACAATCACAAAGTGAAAAAAAAAGCTAACCTCTTTGGCGGTTTCGTTTGAACTGAGGACAACAAGAGAGGAAGAGCCCATCTTGATAGAGTAAATTGGACCATAAAGCTCAGACCATTTAGTGAAAGTCTTGTGAGGCTTCTTCTCTGTTAGCTGCAGCAAGTTCCCAACCAACGGAAGTCCTGGTACCGCTGCATCAAAACACACACCAAAACCAAAACCAACTTCAGAGTTTCCAAAAGATCCAATTTTTAGTGATATTTATAACAGAGTCATGAAAAATCCAGCTAACTAGACTAGTTCCCCAAAACCATGAAACAATCAAATCAAACCCAGATGCTCAATTTCAACAAAGTCTCAAACTTTAAAACAGTTTGTGACTACTCAAAGGTTATAGCTCCAGGAATCGCAAAACCCAGATGCTGAAATTGGGAAAGGGAAGGTTTTTTTTTACCTGGAACAGAGGGGAGCATAGAAACTTCCGACATGTTGTGTGTGGAGAAGAAGGAGAGTAGTTTTTTGAGGAAGAAGATGAAGATTATGGAGGAGACAACAAAGCCAAGGAGGATGGAGATCATGGAGGCCATAAAGGGAGAGTGATTGGTGAAAGATAAGAGAGTGCTCAAAAGATGCATTCATTTTGTAGTGAAGAGAAAGGAAAAAAAGTTTGGAGATTGTTTCCTTGTTATTGGAATTTGGGAAGTTTTTGGAAGTTTTTATTTGTGTGTTTTGGGTTTTACCAGTTTCGGATTTTCATGAGACATATGTGTCCGTTCTTTGATTCTATCTTCTATGTTCCTCCTGGCTCCTGCTGTACTATTTTCCTATATTATCTTGTGACTTGTGACACGACAGATTTTGGATGAGAACAACAAAAAAGAGGAAAAAAACCTCACTGGTTCATGAAAGTAAAATCTGTAGTGAGATCTTATTGTCCTGGTTAAATGAATTTGTTGGTAAAGAAAACATTGATATATGATGAATTTACTGAGTGTGCAATCTGTAGATGTTCTTGGAAGTTGGTGATAGCCATTGTCTCAAGCTTATCGATTTTCTCCAATTTTTTAAGCTAATTTAGTTACAGTATGCTCTCATACATGATACATCTCATACATGATACATCCTAGTAAGTAATTAATCTCTCCAGATTTGACCAATATTATAGGGAAATAAATTGTAGTCCTTATCTTGATAAAATGGTTTTTAAAATACTTGTGCTTCCAAAATCCAAACCTTCCTTAAGAGCATTTGAGTGTCACATCAGTTAACTTCCTTTTCTATTTGTCCCCGTCAAACTTTAACCCCAAGCGCTTTAAAGCATATATCCCCTTGTTCGTTTGTTCCACAACATCTACTTTTGTTCCATGAGCAAAGTTGTTGCTTTCAAGTATTTTCAAAACAATGCATTTCATTTCTTCCCTTTTTATATGCGATTATCATATATTGCTGGTACGATTTTAATTTTAACCAAATTAAATTACGATTGGGCACCATATGAATTGAAGTGTTCCTTTCTTTGAATCGATTTTGTTTACCTAAGTATATACTCTTTTTTTTCTTTATATTTACAAAGTGAGAAGGCTCATGCTTTATAATCAAAATTTTGTGCTTACACTACTTTTATACAAACGACATATAACACAATAATACCACCCCGATTACTTAAACAAACTGCATATTTACACAAAATCGTCACCCAATAGCAAAAACCTAGAACAAAAGTTGGAAAAATAAAGTCTTAAGAAACAAAAAAAAAAAAAAAAAAAAAAAAAAAAAAAAAACTCAGCAAATCAAGCAAAACCCCATTAGTTTCCACAAAATTATACAATTAAAAACATTGAACTGATGATTCTCTGCGAACCTCACTATATTCCCTGCTGGCCATGTTTTCTAGCTGGGAAAAGACAACACAAAATATGAATAGACTCAGATATTATAAAGAAAAGATATTTGGTAAGCGAGATGAACATATACACGGTGAAAAACTTTCGAAAGAAAGGTAATCTTACGTGAGAGCGAGGAGATGTGGGAGGTTTTTAAAACGTGCAATCTCTTCACAGTCGATACAAACATCCTGAAAAATAAAATATATCACTAAGTTTTCTAATGAAGAAACTATATTAATCCATTTTAATATAGTGTGATAAATAGAAATGACCAAACTCATTTTTAGAAAACTCATATTGAAACTATCTTTCTAGGTCGATATAAAATGTTTGTTTTTTCATAATAAAAGTGAGTCAATATTGAATTAATTTATTTTGTTTGATTCAACTTACTCCCAAGGAACATCTCCGACCAGAACTTTATCTCCTTCGGTGTCTTCGTAGACCAAAGTGTATTGTCTGCTTAGATCCGAAGAAAAGAGCCGGTCAACGGCATGGGAAAGCTGTTGATAATTGTTAAAAGCAGAGAGGTTGACTTTTCTTCCGATGGCAACTCCTTCCATGTTGATCTTAACGTACAACTCTCTGTCTTCATCACTCTCTCTCTTCTTCATCTCCTCCTTCGTCTGTGCTGTTAGGTTTCGTCGGGATGATCTCACAGGCGGCCAACCCACCACCGGAGCTGCCTCAACCCTGTTTTAGCCATGTGTTATTATAATTTGGTAAACATTTCATTCTTTTATAACCAAAATCCACCCTAATATCCGGAAGCCATGAAAAACCCTGATTTTCTAACTATTTAAAATATGTAAAGTGGCAAACCATAACTGAAACTGAATTCGATTCGTAAAGAAGTTATAAACCATTAGTGAGATTGTGAGAACGAATTAAGAGAACCTGTTATTGGGAACAAATGATTCTTTGGTGAAGCTTCTTTGTTTAGATCCATTGTTGTTGTTGGAAGTGAGTTGGTGACAGGGAGGAGCCAACCTTAGCTCCAATCTCTTCTCTTCTTCCATTTCTAAGTTTGTGTTATGTTTTTGGTGTTGGGGAGTATTATATGGGTGGTTGGCAAAGGAACTACAATCCCAATCTTTATAAAAGTAGCCACCTTTATTTTCTAATAAACAAAATATTTTATTTCGTATAAAGAATCACCTAAGAGATCCTACTTGTAGGGATTCAGAATGTCAAAATGCGTTACATACGTGTATGAATGTGAAACAGATTGATGGATCATACAATACATATATTTATAACAATTACTATTTGTGTATGTGTACAAGCATATAGTCCATATCTTATTGTTTATGATGCATCATGATTTAGAAAAATATCCAATATGCTAATTAGAGTTATTATGTGTTAAACTGTTAACTGTTAAACAGGATACAAATTATAAAATATTTTAATATAAAAATCATCGAAAAAGTATTTATCTGATAAAATTAAAATACGAAATATATCAAACTATTAATTATTGGTTATTACCTATAAACAAAAATGTATGTACACTTGCTTCTCTTTTGCATGACATGTGCGATGGGAGTTTTGGAAGATCAGAATTATTTCTTAACACTTAAGATTTCAAACATGTTGATATGGAACCGTGTTTACATATATCATGACTCACGAGAGGAAGAAATGCATCATGCTGTCATGCATGGCTGTTACATCATGTGATCATCAATATTGTCACCATCATTATCATTTCTATCTCCATTCTTAAAGCTTATTTTGTATATAATTTTTTTGGAGCAATGGAGGCCGACAAATAAAAGGAAAGAAGAAAGAAGAAAGAGGAAAGAAATTCCTAGGCATGCTTAAATGAGTGCCTACCAATAAAAGGAGAAAAGTAGTAAGTTTTCGCTTCTTCCTCGTTTACAACCTTCTCCTGTTTTTCTCTTCTTTTTTTTGTTAAGTACTATATTTTAAAAAAAAAAATTATTGTATGTATACTTAGAATTCCACTACTCATCCTCTTTTCATTTTTTTTTCACAGGAATTCCACTACTAACTTAATTTATTTCTCTTGTTTCTTCTGTGCTGCAATTTGGCCTCCATAATGTTTGTCCTTTTTTCAACTTACATATTTGATTGTTTTAGGGAAACTATCAACCCATGAAAAGATCTCTTAAAGCTAATGATACTGATACGATAATCAAGCATAGCTTTAGAAAATATATCAAGTGGAAGTGGTTTAAGGATCTTTCAACTCAATCAAATAAAAATTAACAGCTATGACATATAATCTAATGCGCTGTAATTTGATGGGTGAAAAATCAACTAAAATGAGTTAGTTAGGCTATTCCAGAGGTCATATGGAAGGATGAAACACTAAAAATACAAAATTGACGAAAGAGACGCATATAAACTTGTGGCTAAAAACCAATGATTTGTGGCTACAAACTCATAGTCATCACTCTATTTCTGATCATTTTTGGTCTTGGCTACAAAAGAGGAGAAAATAATAGAAGGAAAGACGAGGGAAAATAATGTTCTCGAAAGAGGAAGTTATGATGAACGTCTTGAAACTAATGTTCGATACACATTTAAGCATGCGTATCATTTTTTAAAAGGAAATTATCAGGCGAAAGGTTGAGAAAACAATTAAACACGTAGATGTTCAATGAATGTATCTAAGAAAAGTAATCAAACCCATAATCATTACCGTAAATAACTATGCCACTAATGGAGGGCCACCACTTGTAATTTTACCTTTTATCTTTCCCTTTAGTTTACTTATTTATCTTTTCTTGACTTTTGAGATATGATCGATGTGATCATTGACTTTGCAATGATTATAATTTCAGGCCCAAAATCACTTCAAATGTTCTCTTTTCACACTTTTCGCTTTATTCTTCTCTTTTGATACTAGTATAGAATAATGATATTCTGTGACAATTTTAATGGCGATGTTTAGCAAAGATATCAAAGATGAAAGGCCTATCTTGGTAAACCAAGAAATGTGGTGTGATGCTATCTAACCGTACTATTTGTATTTCTTCACCATTCAAAAAAGATGTTACATTTGTGGTACAAATTGGTGAAACGCACTTTAACTTTTAATTTTGAAGTACGAAATGTGATTCAAGTGTATTTTACTATTCAGTCAAAAAGTATTATTTTGATTCATTAAAGTGAAAGAAAGGAAGTTAAAACAGGAGAGACGTTGTCCTATATAGAAAAAGCAGCAAAAACCGAAGAAGCAAAAAGGAAACAAAAAAAAAGCAAAGGAGACAAAATGTGCAAAGAAGCTTTAACGGAAGTTTCTGTAGACAGGACTGTACATGCAGCTCTCTGCCATCTTCACTAGGTCCTTAGGACGAGGCAGGTTCGATGCCAGTCCTGCACAAACAACAACAACATGTCATCAGATTTTGCTTTTGACATCATGTTTTTAATATGAACAAGAAATTATGAAACTAACCGAGTTCATAGGTTTTGGCTCCCACACTGGCTGCAATGTTAGCAGAGATCTTTCTGATGTTTGCAAAAGGAGGATAGATCAGTCCCTTGGCGAAGTCCTCTTCCGTCACTTGCGAGGCCAACGATTCCGCTGATAGCAAACACAATTTCCAAAAGATTAAAACAAATAGCAATGGTCAAATTTGACAATGCATCAGTTTCTTGAAATGGTTAAAAAAGGAGTGTATTGTACTTACAAGCTGCTAGAAGCATGTCATCACGGACACGAATGGCACCAGACATGATCAAACCAAGACCGAGACCAGGGAAAATGTAGCAGTTGTTTGCCTGAAAATCGAAAGGAACATGAGTTCGTGGATTTTTGATAAAAAGATGTTACAAGAAACAACAAAACGAACCTGGCCAGGAATGAATGTTTTGCCATCATACTCAACAGGGTCAAACGGGCTTCCACTTCCAAAGATTGCACGACCCTAATAATCAATCAAACACAAGCCGATTTAGTTTGCATCAAATGCAACTTCACTTTTGGGGTTTTGAGTAAGCGTTTTGATCGTTACCTTAGTCCATGTGTAAGCTTCTTCCGCTGTGCACTCGGCTTGAGAAGTTGGGTTTGAGAGAGCAAGAATCAAAGGCGTCTGTAAGCCACCAAACAAAGATGAGCATCAGAAACTAGAGCAAAGGTACCAAGAAAGCAGATGGAAAGAAGGAAACAAAACCTTGTTGAGGGTGGCCATGGCCTCCACTACTTCCTTTGTGAAAGTCTTGCCCACACCAGAAGTTCCAATGAGCACTGTTGGCTTGATTGACTGATTTAAGACAAGAATTAAAAAAATGTTAGAAATATTTGTCATTCTTACTCATGAAGATGAGTTGTGTAAAGTACATTAACAGCTCCTAAGAGCTCCTTGACAGGCTCATGCTCATGCGCCCATGGCTGCTTGAAATGCTGAAGTGATTCTTTGCGTGAGCTAACAATCAGCCCCTACAAGATAATCCAAAAGGTAAGAGTTGTGAGGGATGAAGAAGAAAGAAACAGCTAAAATGATGTAATCAACAAATACCTTGGAGTCCACAAGCCAGATCTTCTTCCGGGTCTCATCAATTGGTTTTCCAGTCTGAAAAAACAGTACAGTCACAGATTCTTAGCAAGAAGGATCAAATGCATCAGAGAATGGCAAGAAAACGGAAGACTATTTTACCTCTCTGGAAATCTTAAGAGCAATTAGCTCAGCGATTCCGGTTCCAGCCTTCAAAGAGATCAAAAGGTTTAGCGGCATAACAACTACTAGACAAAAAAGCATATTTTCTTTTATTTTTCAGGTCTCACCTCTCCGGCACCCAAGAACAAAAATGTATGGTCAGATAGGCTTTTACCAAGCACTTTCTGAGCTGCAATAAGACCAGCAAGCACCACTGAGGCAGTACCCTGCAGTTGTATTAATACAGACAAAACAAGTTCTTGCTAGTTAGACTTCAGAAGAGTCACAAACAGTACGTGTCATATAAAATCACTGTTGACGACAATAGCTTACTTGGATATCATCATTGAAAACAAGATGACTGGAGCTGTACTTAGAGAGAAGCTCAAACGCATGGTGGTTTGCAAAATCTTCAAACTGAAACCAAGAGCACTCAGAATGTTATATCCATACAAGATTGACATAACAGTTTTAATCAGTATTAAATATATGATTTTACCTGAACCAAGATTTTTTCTCCATAGTTCTGTTTAACAGCACACATGAACTCATGCAGAAACTCTGCATATTCCTGAATAACAAATGCAAGCTGGCTTCTCAGTCTCCGAAACATCAATACATTTCAAGCACAAGAAAGTGTATAAAAACTAAATAAACCTCTCCAGTTGCCCTCTTCTGTTTAAGGCCAATGTAAAACTCATCATTAAGGAGCTTCTCATTGTTTGTACCCACATCAATGGTGATTGGAAGGCACTGCACATACATTTAGGTTTACAGATATTATGATCATAAGCATAACCACCAATTCTTAAATGAACATTCAGCAGCTATTGTTTCGATGCTTACAGCTGATGGACGAATTCCTCCCAAAGCTGTGTAAAGAGAAAGCTTCCCAACAGGGATTCCCATTCCCTGTCAAAATTTTCAAGCATTCAAATCAACAAAAGATAAAGACATGTCACAAGAGAGTGATCAAGTTTTACAATGTTTGGACTCTGTTTTTACCTGGCAACCAAGATCTCCAAGACCAAGAATACGCTCACCATCAGTGACAACAATAACTTGAATCCCTCTCTGTGGCCAGTTCTTCAACACTTCAAGAATCTTCCCCCTTCAAAAATTAACATCTTGTACTTAGAAATTATATCGTAGAAGAGAGATGAAAACATGGTTTCAGCAAGTATTATTAAATTCTCACTTCTCTTTCAAGCTGATGTAAAGCCCTTGTGGCCTCCTGTAAATGCTCCCATACTTTTGGCAAGCCTCTCCCACTGTAGGAGTGTACACAACCGGAAGCAGTTCCTCCACATTGTCAATCAAAAGCTTGTAAAACAATCTCTCGTTTCTTTCCTGAAAGATTCACATTCATCAGCTCCCCAGTTGCAACAGTTTAAAACAAACGAAACCATAAAGATCTTCGGATAACGATTAAATCACCTGAAGATCCATGAGGGCCACGTAACGCTGCAGAGGAACCGTGTACTGGCGGAGATTGTGCATCACCTTCTTCTCCTATTATAGCCACAAACTTTGAAATCAGCATAAACTTTAAAGAAAAACAGAAATTTTACTGTATGATTGTAAGCGTCAAAATTACCTGAACTTCTTGAGATAAAACTACAGGAGGAAGAAGACCGGTTATGTAATGAGCATCTCTCTCTTTATCAGTGAAGGCAAGTCCCTTGTTGTAACGAGGGTCACGCATCAATGTATAGCCACTGTAGAAGTTTCACACACAAATGTTATAAAGACCAAAGCAACAATTTTCACAACATTGACCTCTTGCTTCCACAACAAGGAAACAAAATGGCTACAGAAATATCAGAAAGATCCAAGATTTCTTGGTTGTCAAGTTAGATGAACAGAGCAATTGGAACCAAACAGAAGAATCCAAATCAAAGCAATTCTGAAAATAATTTTTAACTGCAAAATTTTGGATCTAGCGAGTCTTGAGTATTATAAACAAAATGTGCAATGTGGCGAAAGACAAATCGTGGGTCTGACCTAGCGACGGAGGTAACCCAAGGGGTGACGAGCTGATCCAGAGTGGCGCTATCCTCACCGTAAACATCAGAAATGCCGCCGCCGACGCCGGACCTGTTTTCAGAGACATAATCTTCGGAGGTCTGAGTCGAATTGCAGCTCATCTTTTCACGATTCGGATCTAATTGACAACAAGAAATGATGGGAAGAGGTAATGTAAAATGTGCTTGAAGAGATTAAAGTGGATCAAAGAAGAGAGAAGAGGACAATGCGATTATATAATAGCCGGTTAAGTAGGCGGAGGAATTGATTGCGAGGTCTGAAATATTCTTCCCGTTCTCACTCTCTATTGTCAAAGATGAGGAAAATAAACGCGGAAAATCGGGTCTCGTACTCTGTTCTATTGGTCTTCTTCTTATTTCTTATGAAAAATTATTATTATTATATTCTTTTTTATCTTTTAGTTGTCGTGAGTTTTAAGATGTGTTCGGTTTTTCACTTGTAAGCAAAGAAACAAATATTTGTTATCAAAGAATTGACTTATTTATTCTACAGCCGTGTTCGGGTTATAGATAATATCAGGTTTTGCTGATTTTGGGTCAAGTTAGGCAAACAGTGCAAATTAGGATGCACAAAATAAAATGTGACAGAAAGTAATGAATGGATCATTCCGCGTGAACCCATTAAAATATACATTGGTTAGGTTGAAATGTAAAATGAAATGAACAAAAGCATTCAGCTGGATTTTGCTGAATGTGGGGGAAAAAAAAAAGATATTTTCTTTGTTAAAGTATCACGTCGTTTAAGTGTCCAATGAATAGGTGAGTAACATTTCTTAATTCGATTTAGAGGAAACAAATCTTTTTTGATTTTTTTCTTTTTTAGTTAGCATTTCGCTGCCACGATCTTTTTATTTAACTTGTTATATTAATTTTTCCAGCTAACCAAAATATGAAGACTTTTTTTTTTCTTTTTTGACAACCAAAATGTGAAGACTTTTTTTTGGTTTGATTCAAAGATATACATATTTACTTTTTCCTTAATCATATAGTAGTATTAAACTACTACCCTTGTAATGATAAGTTTTATATTAATTGTTTTACTAAAGTATATTATATTTTATACAGTGTATACATTTATATACAGTAATAATTACAGTAAGCTAGAACTTAGAAGAGCCTCTGTCTAAAACGAAAAATAGGTTTACAGATTTCTTATCCGTAAACGTCATTTTCCCTTGCTAACAAAAGGGGGAACTTTTTGTTTGGCTTTACCGTGTTGTTCAAGCTATACATGTGAAGTTGATCCTTTTTTAAGCTCATTAAATAAAGGCTAAATTGTTCATGCTTTTATTGGCAGGACGAAAACAAAAGTGGATAGAGAAACAGAACCCTCGAGACCATTCTCTTAACTCTATAAATACGCATCATAACAACATATAATCATATAGACAAGTTACAAGCGAGTCCTACACATACAACAAAAACAGAAGAAAAAAACACTAAAAAATCAAAACCTTCCCATGGACCGTCTTCAACGTACCTTCTCGGATATCTCACACCAACTATCCACAGATACCATTCTAACAAAAGAACCATCTCCAGCCGCAACCGCAACAACTTTGTTGTCCTTAGCAGCGATAACCGAAGTGGAAGATGCAAAGTGCGAGTGTTGCGGCATGTCTGAAGAGTGCACGCCGGAGTATATAAACCGTGTGCGTTCCAAATACTCAGGGAAGTTGATTTGCGGGCTGTGCTCAGATGCCGTGGAGGAAGAGATTGAGAAGATGAGCAACAGTGAAGTCGTGGTGGAGAAGCGGAGAGAGGAGGCAGTGAAGATACACATGGGTGCATGTGCCCGGTTCAACAAGCTAGGCCGGAGTTATCCGGTGCTGTACCAAGCCGAAGCGGTTAAGGAGATGCTGAAGAAGAGGTCTAAGAAGATTATTAGAGATACCAAGTCTTCCGAAAAAGGTGGCCTCGCTAGGAGCTCTAGCTGCATGCCGGCTTTGGCTAAGGAGCTAAAAGATCGTACTTTGGTTAATTAGTTTATTTTTTAAACCACTCTCGTTTGCTTAATATGTTACATTATGTTCATATAAGCAAATCGAAAGCTACATGTAAAGAGGGAGAAGGGTATTACTATTAAGTTAGTTATATGTAGTAAGATAATTGATGCAACTTGTCCGTCTAAATATTTTGTTTCCGTGTGATGTAAATTCTGTCTATGTATTGTATAATCAAACGGCCTTTTCTCACTATTAATATATTTGTGGATCAATCATGTAAGGGAAAGGACCTTGACATCAAAGTAATCCAATCGAACCTTAATATATGTATGCGTCTTCCACTCTACATGATTGTATATATATACCGTTGATTAAAGTTTGTGCAAAATAAAGTGTAACTTGTGAGGGAGTAGGGACTACTAATAGCGGTAAAACCGTAAAAAAAAGTTCAATCTTTGCTAGTTTAATTAGATAGTTCCAAAATAATTCCGAATGAATTATACTGAGAAGACCTAATTTCATGTTCGAGAAGATGAGGCAATACATGACATTAATGAATTCTACGGCAGATGAAGGTGACAGTGATAATTAAGTTGAATTGATTGATTAAAAATATTGTTTATGTTTGGCAGAGCTTGATAGACCAAACATAAAGCAAATGAGCGAGAAACGGGTGATGGAGATAGCTGAAGGATCCAATGTAGGAGTAAGAGAAGTTATGGGAATGCTGAAAACGTACAAGAGGAAGAGGCAAAGGCGTGGATGGAGATTGAGAATAAGTCTTCGAAGACGACAACAAACGTATGGAAATGGATTTTCCTTGTGAGGTCGGGTCTACTACTGCACAAATTAATCATACTACTAACGCCAAGCTTCGATCAAAAAAAGGGATCAGGCTAGTTTGTACGTAGCAAAAACTGTATGACTTGATTTTCATCTTATCATATAAACCAATATCTCGTCCAAACAAGACATAGGCCCATAAATTTACCCGAGACATGGGCCGAGTGTCCACTATGCTACACTGCTCACTGTATATGGTACTCATCTCCTTTCTTCATGTATAGGGAGGGACTTCTCTAGATATATCGATGGGTTTGTGCTAATTAATTTGCTAAATTTCGATTTCGTTGTATTTGAATTTTAAGAAATCATGCACCAGTAAAATTTTGAAGTGGTTAGAGTGTCTGATTTTCAGGAAACAGACTTGGATTCTAGTTCTGACTGGCGCATTTCTAAATGTAGTAGTTATTAGGTTGATAAGATTTAAAACTACAGGGGTAAAAACGAAAGAGAGTTGTAAATTAAGACCGGTCACACTCTTTCTGATTGCCTGAGCTGGAAATTATCGTGCTTAAAAGTGGGATCGGAAAAGGAATAAAGAGGTTTAACATGGGATTAGGAAGAACGTGTAAGATAACAACAATAGCTAATTATTATTTTTAACTCTTTAGAATATTCTTTTACAAGTCCCGAGGAGTACTGTTCGATGTGGTAGATAATCGAATCAGCCTGTAGAATGTTTTGATTTCCGATTTATTTATTAACGTAACGTCAAAGAACCTAGCTAACGTCCCTATTCCCTTAATGATAGTATTATATTTGGTGCATTTATTTTCATGTTGTGTGCATCCAATACTGTTAGAGTTTGTGGCAGATTGCTTATGCAACATAACTTTAGAAGAAGGGAGATATTCGAGATTTTAAAAGGTACATATGCAGTTGTTCTTAAGTTATATTGCATTACACGTAACCCTATTTCCGTTTACCATTGATGGAGTGATTTCCATGAAAAAGAAAAATTCGTGTTACATAGCTAAAAAGCCAATAATTCATATAAAAAAAAAATATATATATAGTCATAATCATTAGACCATTGGACTAGACACTATGAGTTGGTTTGTGGCAGCCGACGCGAAGAAGCTAGATAATTTTAGATGTAGCAGCATGAGATGGTATAGTGCTACGTTTGTAGTAACAGATGGTATAGTGCTACATTTGTTAGTTTACATGACTGTAAATCTTTCAAGCGGTAAAGTGTTGTTGTATAGCTACAATCACAACAACAAAATTTCGACATAAGCTAAAGAGCATGAGATTGTCATAGATGGATAGATTTCCAAAATATATTACATGATTTCCAAAATGTACATGAACTAATAACTTTGTCATTTAGGTATTACTATTACCAAAACTGGTGACTCAGTCCGGTTTTGGATACATGTAAAATCAACGTGGGCATACCAAACCGGTTTCAAATTTCTCGTAATGGTGTTGTCGTCGCTTATCGAGTGTTGATAATCAACGGTGTGATCATCATCCAACACATGCACGTGAGGGGGTACTTTTTTGTAATTTTGAAGCAACGTTGTGACCCTTTTAGTAAAGTTGTCCCCACCACTAATACCACAATTGCACATGTTTGATTCATTAATCCTTTAATTGTGTCATTAATATTTCCTACCTTTTCTGTTTGTCAACTAAGGAAATTCTACTTTTCCTGCAAATCTAATAATTTAATTACCTTCTTATCCAATCATTTAGTTCCAAAAAAAAATTCTTATAAAGTTATGCTTAATGGATTTGGAGTATACTACTATTACTTTGTAAAAACTAAATCAACATATCCATAAAAACAAAAACAAAAGTTTCCCTTCAGAGACATGTGTGTTATTACTTATTAGTGTGAATTAGAGGTAAAATTGAAAATAGAGTTGAATGAAAAACGTAGCTCAACATTTGTATAAGTATGTAAACAAAATAATTTTTGGCAAAACAAGTATAATTAGTAAATATTGGAATAAGCTTGAAAGAAGCTTGCAACACTTCCTAGTCTTAGTCGAGTTATGATTAAAGAGAAATCACAAGTTGTTTACGAGTTAGCTAAACAGTAAACATAAGTGACTTGTAATAGGATTAGGATTAAGGCTCTATTATATAAAGAGTTGTTAAGTTGTGACAAAACTTATGAGTTGTGAGTTTGAGAGCTTAAATTTTGAAAGATTTTCTTAAGTTGTAATAAATACAAATTATAAAAGAAAAATACACCAAAATAGGAAGATTAATAACTGTCAAAAAAAAGAAGAAGGAGCAAAAATAATTTCCCAATAAAAACTCCTTTGTCTTCGTCAAACCTTCCTATTTACATGTCTCTCTTGTCCCCTTCAAGCGCAATGAAATTGAAAAACAAATAAAAAAAAGTTTATCTTTCTAGAGAAACCATAACTTTCTCTAACTTTACTCCTTTTTAAACTCACGTTTCCCCTCACTCCACTCTCTCCTCTCCCTTTCTCTCTCTAAAGAGCTCCGGCGAGAGTTCACCGTAACAACCCACCGGCGAAAAAATCAACCTTTGCAATTAATGGAAGAAGAAGCCCATGAATTCTTCCACACAGCTGATCACTTCGCCGTCGATGACCTCTTGGTCGATTTCTCTAACGATGATGACGACGAAAACGATGTCATTGCTGATTCCGACGCCGCCAACACAGCCACCACCGTAACCGGCAGCTCTAACTCCTCCTCCTTCTCTGCCGGTGGTCTCCTCAATTTTAACGGTGACGTTCAAGACGGCACCAGCTTCTCCGGCGAACTTTGCGTACCGGTATGTTAATTAAATCAATTCCACATATTATTGAAATAATTCGAGTAAAAAATAGATTTTTTTAGTTTGTCAATTATCGAATTTTAGGAAAGAAGATAAATGTTAAGTGATATGTTAGTTATGTTTGGTAATTATTGAATTTTCTTATAAATTGAGAAGGTTATTGATTATTGAAATTTTTACTGAATTGGGAAATTAATTATTTTCTAAATTGTTATGACACAGAACGATGATTTGGCTGAGCTGGAGTGGCTGTCGAACTTCGTGGACGACTCGTCGTTCTCGACCGACGATGTACAAAACCTCCAGCTAATATCCGGTTACAAGACCCCACCCGACCCGAAATCCGAATCCGGACCGGAAAACCCGAACACCAGCAGTCCGATTTTCACCACTGAAGTCTCTGTGCCGGCCAAAGCAAGGAGCAAACGCTCACGCGCTGCAGCGTGCAATTGGGCCTCACGTGGGCTTCTCATGGAAGCGGTTTGCGACAACCCGTTCACCGGAGAAACAGTTCTCACCTGCCACCACCTGTCTCCGCCGACTTCTCCCACGGGGATGGCTCAGCTCGGGAAAAAGCAAGCCATCGACGGTTTCCGGCGGAAGAAGGAAGCCTCGCCGGAGTCAGGTGGCGCAGAGGAGCGGCGGTGTCTACACTGCGCCACGGACAAGACTCCACAGTGGCGGACAGGCCCAATGGGCCCGAAGACGCTTTGCAACGCTTGCGGCGTCAGGTACAAATCCGGGCGTCTTGTCCCCGAGTACCGGCCGGCGGCGAGTCCGACGTTCGTGCTGACGAAACACTCCAATTCTCATCGGAAAGTTATGGAGCTCCGGCGGCAGAAGGAGATGACGAGGGCCCACCATGAGTTCATACATCACCATCACGGTACGGACACTGCCATGATTTTCGACGTCTCATCGGACGGTGATGATTACTTGATCCACCACAACGTTGGCCCAGATTTCAGACAGCTTATTTGATTGATCCTCTTTTTTTTGTTTTTCCAAATAATTAAGGTTTCAGCTTAATTAGGGATATCTTCTTAGATCAAAAATTTTGCTTGCTAATCTTAATTATGATGATGACAGTTTTACTTTCCTTCCCTTTGTTTTTTTTGTGTTGTTTGGAATTTGTTAGAAACTTTTGTTGCATTCCTCATGGCATGAAATGAATCTTTTAGTTTTTTTTTTAAATTGAAAGTCTACTTCTTCTGTCATTTAGTATTTGTTGATGTCTTTACCACTGATTAATTAGTGTTACAAGTGAATATAGAGGAATAACTTGGTTATTTCAAATAAGACTATCATAAATAATGTATACAAGATAGAGGTGAAAAAATCATAATGATGAAATATTGGTGGGAGAGTGTCTCAGTGTTGGTAATGTGTCACCTCAAGGATCAAGGTCTTGCAAATCTTGTAAATGTTTTTAAACTTACAATCATCCCATTTTTTTTGTTTCTAATAATAAGCCAAGAAACAGTAAGGTGTTTTGTAGGCTATTTTGTTAGCTTCTTCTATTTGATCATTTAGATAGTACTGATATCTGTTTAATGCAATCTTACAATATACAAAACGATAGCAGGAAAAGATTTCGAGCAATAAACAAATAGATAAACATCTCTGGATGAAATCATTTAATCCTCTGCTCTCACGATCCGATGCAGCACTAATCCATATTCCATAGTATATTGTTATTCCTTTTTGTTAAAATAGTCATTTGTTTTTCCGTTTACTGATTCATACAATTATAGATTCTTTAATTGGTCTAAAACAAAATTTAGAGATAAACAGAAAATTCCATATGCTTTTGCAAATTTAATATTTTGGCAAGTGTAGACACTGCCAAACTCTAACATGCATTTTTTTTATAACCAAGTGTTGTTTGGACTTGTTACGAAATCGTGATAATTAACAAATATAAATCGGTTGGGGCTTAGTTTGCGGTGGTCACATGCCTCTCATGCACATAGAGTCATTTTCATGAACGCTTATGTATGTCAAGCACATGTGTATCCGACAACAACCAAAGTACATCTACTTGTGTATTCATACAAAATCATATCTAAAAATTAGTTTAGTTTTTTTTTCTCTCTCTATTTAATCAAAAATCTAAATCTTGTAGTTCAAACATCAATCTTGACTACGTGGAAATCTATGGCAAGGATAAAGATCACACCCCATTGTTCCCCGTATACGTTTTGATAGATTAGTTTGTGAGTATTAAATTTCAGTTATATCTCTTCTACCAAAAAAGATAATGAAGGTGGAAGTTAACGTAAAAATGCCGAAAAATGGGTTCCCATGCGCATATAAAAAAATTTGGCACGTTAAATCGTGAAGCGATAGATCATTCATGTCTCCTGACAATTTAACGTTTTCTATACACAATATAACGATATTTATTATTATTCTAAATCATTCACAAGTCGTCCTTATCATGATCATAGCTTTGTCAGCTTAACTAACAAAGTAGCTAATGATTCTCCTCTTCCAAATCATGTGGATCGAATGAGGGAAAAGTACCAAAGCAAACCGGGGAGAGAAGTGAAACCAAGGAGGTTTGGGATAAGATTGTTATTTGGTCTGGAGAGTGATACATACGTGCACAAAACATGAAACAAGTATTGAAACACCAATAAATCCCTTTGAGCAATTCATTCAGACAAATTTTGTTGAAAAATACAACCCAGTTTCATTTGGTTTTTGATCTGTGTCATATCGTTGACTAATTACGAAAGATGATAGTATGATGATTGATGAATCACCAAAGAAGCACCAACAGGTGAGTTAAAAAGTTGAAAAATACAAAAGGCAGACTGGAATCAGAGCAGCTGTGAATCTCATCCCATAATCAAATTTCCCTTTTTGCAAGAATCTGGTCACTTATCGAGGTACACTGAGGCCAAGCTCTGCAAGACACACCATAGCTACATTAACATATGACATCATAAGAGCATGCCTACTGTTAACAAATGGAACATTCATGCACTGATATCAAAAGCCTGTCTCCATACTTAAAAGGTGGAAGCTTTCTAATTCTCAGAAGCTACTACTAAGAAGTGAAGTCTTTCTTTTTCCAGTCTCCCATATAAGAGAGATGTCTCTAAACTTTCGACCATGCCCTAAACCAATCCAGAATGCCTCAATTCATTCACCTCTCTTTAAAACCTTCAGCTCTCAACTAACTGACATAAGGTCTGTTTATCAGCTGGCATAGCGCTACACTAGAAGTGACAAAGAACTCCTTATCACCTACTGTTAGTTGAGTCGGAATCAAGAAGAAAAAGAAACGTTCTGTTGTTTGATAATTCATCGGTTAAACTAAAAACGGTCATACTAACACCAAACGACGTCCCTGTGTTTAAAAAACAGAGGAACCAAGGTATGTAGAAGCAGCGGCAATTCACTAATTGGGATAGTCTTAAATGGGTAAATTGTACAACTTTACATTCAAAGAAACTCTAAATATCAACAATGTGGCTTGAATACACCCAATTTCAAGATTAATCATTCAATATAAGAAGGGAAAAGTGTAAACTCGAGAAGATCAAGATCTAAAGAGGATTGCTTACAGATTACTAAAACAGAGACAAAACATGTGGGGGAGAATATCAAACTCCAGGATTCGCATTGAGCATACCCTGAGACAACGATCTCGAGTTCCTTGAGTCAATACCAAGGCACGAAGTCAGTCTAGCTGAAGAAACCGCGCTGTGAAGTGGAAGCAGAGAGTGAAGCGAGCCCAGCTGAGCAATCGGTCTGATTCAATCAACCAGAAAACATCGAATAGATTGAAATTTCAGTGAATCTAATCAATACAGTGACTCAAATTGAGGAAAAAGAAGCCTTTTTTTTTACCTTGCAGGTCTAAGCGAAGGACTGATGCCGATAAATGATGAAGCCGATTTGGGTTGGGCAGTAGGTTTGTTGAAAGCGGATTTAAACATGGAAATGGCTGGTTTCGAGAAAGATCGACATCGAGAAGCCATTATTGCCCGGAACGGAAACGGATGCAATGCAGAGAACTCGTCGGAGTCTAGGTTAACTGCGTCAACCGAGAACGGAGGCGTTTTGAGAGAGATATACTAAACGACGACGTTTCCAGTAAAGATTTAACGAATTAACAGATTTTACAAAAAAAAAAGTTTGGTACAACTATAAGCTTAAAAACAAAATTTGTTTGCTAAAAGGTTATACAATTCTTAAATTTCACATCAAAGGCATCGCATTTGTAACCTTACTCCAAGTTTAACTAATCTTATTCATTTTTTTTTTTGGGTCAAAATCTTATTCATTTTCTAACATCTTAAAAAAAAAAATTCTTATAGTCCTTATATATCCACTCATTAAACTTTAAAAATTGGCTAAACAACTTAAAAAATACTCCCTAATCTTTAAGACCCATTGATTTATGACTCAAAAGAACTTCATCACTTACAAGGACAAATATACCACCACTCCCCTTGACTTGTAGCTAACTTCTTACACGGTCCATGGTGAACATCGATATAACCTCCCCATTCCCATTTATGGAAAAATACCTTTTTCTTCGAGTAAGCTAGCTAAAACGACCTCTATCCAACTCAAACGTTCTTGCAAAAAAACTTCAACAAACTTTTAGTTCTTCTATCTAATCTTGGAGGGAAGTCAAGTGTTTTGCCGAAAGACGTATGCCATCGTTTTTGAAGATATGGACAACTCATCTAACACATCGCAAAGCTCTATTATGCAACGATTGCATATATTAAAAGACACTAGCAATAAAATATACAATTTGTACACAACTTATTAGTAAACGATGTTTATAATATATTCAAATGAGATAACAGTCAGTTGTGGAATATTCCTTTAGTAATCTGTTTTGTAGCATGAATCACAGTTGGTGTTACAATTTACAATTCGTACGTATTGATTCGGAGTATAATTAATTTCCATTTCTCGGTATCCATTATTGTCTATCATGCATCCCGATTCTGAACTGTCACGAATCAATCAAATTCTTCCAATTTACGTATCTCGAAAAACAAAATTACTTGAATGTAAATATTAACTGCCGCAACATGCAAGCAACCTTCGAGGACCCCATTTTTCTTGCAAAGGTTAAATAATAAATGTCAACCATTTCAATGCATGTATAGTCTTTCTTGGTGGTGGTGGTGCGAAAATGCAAAGGTTAATTTTGTCCATAAAAATATGTATCCCCCCATATATCAAAATAAACACGCTCGTCTATTTATTTACTTGGACCACTGGCGTCATGGACCATATCAAAGGTAGTATTAGAATTATTTTGGTCCAATTCGGTTCGGTTCGGTTTGGTTTGCTTCAATTTGGTCAATATTCTTCCTCATGTCTCGATTGTTTGGTTGGTTGATGAAAGATTTATAACCAACAGAGAAAGATTTGTTGCTCTTAACTGAAAAAAAAAGATCTTTGTATTTCGGTTTGGGTTGAGTTTATGATAAATCCAGTCGAAAGAACTAAACCGAGTCAAACTACCATCAATTGGATTAAATTTAACAATGTAACAACCAGAATATATAAATCCAATAACCATTTTCTGATTCCTTAATTATAAAAGTCTTTTGCTTCTCCGTAGATTACTCGGAATCGTTTTCATAACGCTTGAAAAAGCCAGCCGGGTTTACTCAGACACGGACAAAAGTGAAAGAGAAGAGAAGAATCTTTTGTGACATCAGAAGAAGAAGAAGATCAAAAAAGCGTTACGCGTGGCGGCTCAAACTCAAATTCCTCTTGCCAAATTCCGAAATTACCCCTCTCTGTTTCCTAATACTCTAATGGGTTATTGATTACGAAGGGTCTGTTGTGGTTTCTCGTAAACGACGAACCAGCATAGTTTACGAGACACATAAGGAAGAAAATCAGATAAAGATTAAATTTTCTCGGGAAAATATTTTTTCATCTCTTTCGTCTTTGGTTGGTGTTTCCTGTTTGCTGGTGAGTCTTGAGCTGACTAATAAAAGGAACCCAGAAGCCGATTAAAATCAATCATCACAATTTCATATGGCGATCTTTGTTTGACTTCTCAACTTGTAAGCTTTTCTCAGATTCTCTCTCTCTCTCTCTCTCTCTCTCTCTGTTCTTGGCAAAGCAGAGCATCAAATCATTTGATAATCATTACGGTGCTCTGTTTCTCTTTTCACATATTGCATGCAATGATATTTTCTAAAAGTGTTGAAAAGTTAGAATCATGATTCGGATCATAAATGTGTTCATGCGTTGACCATATCAGATTCCAGAATCACAACGAATTATGATTGCTGTTCTTAAAAGATTGATGCTTTTGAGTAACAAATTGGTTCATGTCACTAACAGAATCATAAAGATTGATACTTTCGAGCGTGACAGGTAATTTCCAGGGCCTGAAGAAGATGAGGAATGAGTTTCCATGGCTATGGAAGCAGTTAGAAAGCAAACGGCTTCTGTTGCTATTGGGACTCACATTTGCTCTCATCGTCACTTTCCAGTTCGTCGAGCTACCTTACGACATCTCCTCCATCTTCTCTTCCACCAAGATCCCCATTTCAAGAAACTCAACTTCACTTGGCAAGAATCAGAATGGTAACAACTTGCCTCCAGCTATGGCGCCAAGCTTTTCCCCAAAGAACTCAACTTTAACTGATTCTGGAGGAGACGACGAAGAAGTTGAGGTTGATCAGATATCTAACGCCACCGCCCCCGCCATTTCGCCTTCTCCGGGAAAGGAAAACGCAACCGCTCCTGCCGCTAGTACAGAGCCTCCATCTGCATTGCCTGGTTTAAACCCGTCTCCGGTTAAGGAAAAAGCAACAGCACCTGCCCCTAGTGCAAATCCTCCTCCTGCATTGCCTGGTTTAAACCCATCTCCGGTTAAGGAAAACGCAACCGCTCCTGCTGCATTGCCTGGTTTACAACCCTCTCCGGTTAAGGAAAATGCAACAGCTCCTTTGGCTAGTGCAAAGCCTCCTCCTCCTCCTCCTCCTCCTCCTCCTGCATTACCGGGTTTAAACCCGTCTCCGGTGAAGGAAAACACTACAATGCCTACACCTAAAAAAGATGTTAGTGGTGCTTCTCCGGTTGTGAGATTTGTGCCTGACGTAAAGGAGAATCTGAAAATCCCTGGTTCCGGAGTGATGTCAATATCAGAGATGAGCAAGCAGCTGACTCAAAACCGTGTTTCACAGAATCGTCTAGCAAAGGTTCCATCATCATCTTGATCTATGATACATTCTTGCATTAGTGTCAAATGTTTCATCTATTTTGTATTTTTGCTCTGTTTTTCAGAAACCAAAATGGGTTACTAAACCTGACTTGGAGCTATTACAAGCAAAACATGAGATTGAGAATGCACCAATCGATGACAAAGACCCTCTTCTCTACGCTCCTCTCTACCGCAATGTTTCCACTTTCAAACGGTTAGTTTTTGTTTTTTACCTTCTTCTTGAATTAGCATCAAAGCCCATATTCTGATATTGAAAATTCATTTCAGGAGCTATGAGTTGATGGAGAAGATGTTGAAGGTCTATGTGTACAAAGAAGGAGATAAACGTATAATGCACAATCCAATACTCAGAGGGATCTATGCATCAGAAGGCTGGTTTATGAACGTTATGGATTCCAACAACAACAGATTTGTGACAAAGGACCCTTCGAAAGCTCATCTCTTCTACTTACCATTCAGTTCCCGGATGCTCGAAGCGACTCTATATGTTCAAGACTCTCACAGCCACCGCAATCTCATCAAGTTTCTTAAAGACTACATAGACCTCATCTCCGTCACATACCCTTTTTGGAACCGAACTTCCGGCGCCGACCATTTCCTTGTCGCCTGCCATGATTGGGTAATGTCTTCTCCTCTGTTTCATGATGTAACATTTCTCTATCAAGTTATAAAAATGTGATCTTTGAGATCATTTTTCCTGATTAATATATGGTCTGTTGTGATATTTCTCTATAAGGTTATAAAAATGTGACCTTTGAGATCATTTTTCTGATAAATATATGGTCTTCTGTGACATTGCTTTATGAAGTTATAAAAATGTGATCTTTGAGATCCTTTTTCTGATATGCTCTGTTTTGACATTTCTCTATGAAGTTATAAAAATGTGATCTTTGAGATCCTTTTTCTGATATGCTCTGTTTAGACATTTCTCTATGAAGTTATAAAAATGTGAGCTTTCAGATCATTTTGCTGATATGCTCTGTTTTGACATTTGTTAAGGAGATTATAAAGATTGGATCTTTGAGGTCGTTTTGCTGATAAATGTATATCCTCTTGTGACATTTTCAGGCTCCATCAGAGACGAGGAAGCATTTCGCAAAGAGTATAAGGGCGTTGTGCAACTCTGATGTCAAAGAAGGGTTTGTCTTTGGAAGGGACACTTCTTTACCGGAGACAATGGTTAGAGATCCCAAGAAACCTCTAAGCAACATCGGTGGTAAATCCGCAACACAAAGGCCAATTCTTGCTTTCTTTGCTGGCAAACCGGAACACGGTTATCTCCGGCCGATCCTGCTCTCCTACTGGGGTAACAACAAAGATCCTGACTTGAAAATCTTCGGGAAACTTCCTCGGACGAAAGGGAACAAGAACTACCTTCAGTTCATGAAGACTAGCAAGTACTGTATTTGCGCCAAAGGCTTTGAAGTGAACAGCCCGAGAGTGGTTGAGGCCATTTTCTATGATTGTGTTCCGGTTATCATATCGGATAACTTTGTGCCGCCGTTTTTCGAGGTGTTTGATTGGGAGTCGTTTGCGCTTTTCATACCGGAGAAAGACATACCGGATTTGAAGAAGATTCTGATGGCGATACCGAAACGGAGGTACTTGCAAATGCAGATGAGGGTGAAGAGAGTGCAGAAGCATTTTCTGTGGCATGTGAAACCGGAGAAGTATGATATGTTTCACATGATTCTTCATTCGGTTTGGTTAAACCGAGTCTTCCAGATTTCTGGTTAGAAGTTTGGTTCATTGTACATTTTTTTACAGATTTTTTTTGGGATAAATTCAGTTTACGTAAAGCATACTGCACAGAAAAAGTGACCTCAGTTTTGTTTTTTGATTATTTATGTTTCTTGATAGAAAATCAGACTGTATTCTCAAATTCTGACATTTGATTGAGTAGATTGACTCGGTATGAACCTAAACCGGTATGAATAATAAATGATCTGGTGTGTGGTGGTTTATTTCAGTCAGGAGCTAAGCACAGAATGCATGTGAGAAAAAATAAAAATAGAAAAGAAAATAACTGAAACTGAGACTGCCATGTTCAGAAAACCAGTCTTTTAGTATCTAGAATTTTTCTGGAATTATCTATTTATCTTCCTGTGTTCTTCGTCTTTTTTTTATCTTTCTATGAGTTATTATGACCTTTCTTGGGAAAAAAAATAAATAGGGAAGAGGGCAATAAATAGAGATGGTGATGTTTGACGTTACTGGAGACATGTTTCTTTTTGATATGTTTTGTCTGTCTCTTAGATAAACTCATAAACCTTATCATTTCCAACTTTTCAGTATTTTTAACTTTTCACCAAACATATACTCAATATATGTTGAGAAAAATATGTTTATATTACAACGAGCATTACCAAAAAAAAATAAGAAGTTTAATTGGTGATCGGTAGGTAAGTATGAAGCGAGTATAATTGTCAACTTTTGACTGCTTTTTCTAAATAATTTTGTAGATAAAAGTAATGTTGTATTTTTTACAGAAGTTTTTAGTTCACGAATAAAAGAAAAAATTGAAATGCATTTTAATGTTGGCATGCGGTCTATATATATAGTTCACTAAATATGTTTAATCAATAATTAGAAACTGCTGTAAAACTTAACTACACTGCGCAACACATTTTGTCTGCATCCATAACTGAATGCTAATCTCGAACAAAAATGAATATAATGGGTAGTCAAACTCAACCACCAAACGGCAAACGCTATAGTAGAAAGGAGAAAAAAGAGAATAGCAAACGCAATAGTCGATTTCATTTGGCAACGATCAATGGTCATATTGTGTTATGTGTTTCCAATTTTCATATGCTGCTCTCTTCCATATTTTGAAGGTTTTGATTCAATTACGTACCAACATGACTCAATAACATTTGACATTTTGTATCTGTGATGTTGATGATTATGGTTGACTATTAGAGGTTTCAAGAATTAGGGTTAGATTTTGCCTCAGAACTTTTCTAGTTATATACTTTTTCCGCAAGCGTCCAACAAGGTTTTATTATTACAGATATATATCTAGATTTGACAAATTGATTTGGCAACAACAACAATGTATAGCTTTGTCTTTTTTAATACATATCAAAAATAGAATCTCGAACTGGCATGGTAGTATTTGTCACCCAGCGGCAAGAAAATCATGAATAGATGTAGATTTTCATAAATGTGTATATCGTTATGACAACACTCTTACTCAATATCGTATCTCAAAATTCATTTTGCCAACATGTTATTACACCAGTAATGGCATTCTGAGGATACTCATTCTAGAGCAGCACTATAAATTTGGAAACCTTATTGTTTAGAGAATACGAATGGTCAAAACCATGAAGTACTATGCTTTTCCAACATATGATGATTGATTTTGATAACAATTTTATATAGTGATTTTGACCCGCCAATTGGATACCGATAAATCGAGTCTAAATGTAAATTTGATGCATACTGTAAGGTGGATTCTATAAAAATAGCAATTATGACACTGGAAAAACCATTTTTGTTCTTTAAATCATCATTGCAGCTGAAATTCAAACATTACTTTAGACTACAATCAGTATGATGTGTTTACTGCTAATTGGTTATATATTGTGAAAAGATGCTCAGTCGTTATCACTTATTTCTTCGATCAACCATAGAGACATGAGACATCATTTTATAAAAAAGAGATCCACAAAGACATTCACATACCATTTCAAAAAGCGATCCAGTACTACAAGATTTAGACATTAGTGGTCCAAATTTGAATAATTTCTTAGAATCATAAATAAAACTGCTCATTCATAACATGGTCGACAATTAGTCCTTCTTTGCGTTCTACCACTAACTTGAGAAACATTGGAATAGTCGGACTAATGTACATAATGTGCTTACAAATCAATAAGATCACGTACGGTGATGAAACAATAATCAAAGAACTTAATTACTACTACGTACTAATTTAGAAAGGTAAAATAGTTACTACAATACCGTATATGGATTAGAATGGTCTCTTGTTCGTCCATATATCTATCGACAAATAAGAACACCGGTCGGTGAATCCCTGTAGACTGATCTCGACAAATTGCAATAATGGAGTCGTACTGTTACATGCATATACATATTTGCGTGTAATGGGTATGAGTGGGTCCAAAACGACAGCCATACGCGCGTTTCGTTGACTACCTTATACTCACTCTCGTAATAAGAAAATCAAAACTTATGGGCATGTCCTACATTTCCAGATGTCTCTAGGACCACTTTTTTTGTTTTTGTTTGCCAATTAAATCAATCAACTTGGTTCTTTTTCCAATGTTTCCCCGTCGATAAGGCTTTTTTCGCCCGTCGACACAAAAAATACCTTTTTCTCCCTTCTTTTGTTTCTATTCACATATTTTTCCGCAATTTATGTTCTCATTATTAAATAATATCAGAATTATAATATATCTTCCCTTACACAAAGAATGAGTGCATAAAATTATATTTTTGTTCGAGATTAGTGTCGTTATAACTTCGATGTGGCTTTTTACATTTAGTTCCTATTTTACTCCTTATTCTAAAATCTAAACTAAGACATTTTGAATGTAAATCATTTATTTTTGATTAGTGATATATTAGATAGAGATATAATTCTATGTTTTTTAATAGTTAATCCGCATAAAATATGTAAGATCGACAACTTTTTTTTGTAAAATGAGCGGCGTATTAGCAAATATCCAAAAGAAACATTTACAACAAAAATCCAATCTATAGCCTCACCTAAAAATCTGAAAAGTTTTGTGGGTCATGTAAAACTCAACATAGCATAATGATGTAAAAAAAGACGCACGAAGCTCAGCAACTTTAAATCAGAAACGAACAATCGAATACAATTATTTTAGCATTGAGTTACACGGTTTTGTTTGCACTTTGGACAAAGAAAAACTTTTAAACTAAAAAAAAATAATGTTATTTAGATTCGCACCTTTGTCGAATTTACATTTAATAAACTTGCACGGTTGAGTAATTAGTCCATGTCTCATGTCTGAGAGTCTAGAAAACTCGGCTCCCGGAACCTCAATGTAGGAAGCATCACATGTTTATCCGAGGTGACGATGCTTGTTTATCCGATAATCCTTCGATACTCGATATGCAATTTATCTTATACAAAAGCTGAAAAAAACAACCACAAAAAAAGCTTGTCTATTTCCCTAATCCTTAATGAAAGTGAGATAGCTAGCTTGACAGTTAGATGTTTAAACTCTCTTTATCAATAGATTATGCCATAGATAGCATCCTTAAATAGCTACAGATAATTTCCATCCAATTTTATTTAATATTTAATATATGGAACGTCGAGAACACTTAATTCTTTATGAGAATCTGAACATTTGTATCTCCTGTTTTTTTTTTACTCATCAATTTATCTGTTCTTTTCTTTTTGTTGTCGCTGTTGCTGTCAAGCCTTGTGTTTCCCATATAAGATAGCTTGTTTTACCTTAGTTTTAGACATTTTCGCTTATACCCACCCACCGTTATTGTTTACTTATTATATACGTTGACCAAATTTAGTGATCGATCCCTACATATTACCGTTACAAAACCATGCATTGCGATTAGGATCATATAACTACTGTAATACTTTAACGATTCTAAGTTCTCTTTAAAGACATAACCATCACATCCTAGAAAATCTTCACATGGACTAGTTTAAGCATTAGTCGGTTTAACCGCTAGTCGACCATCCACCGAATGAGTAGCCACTAACAACTTTTAGAACTTTGATTGCCAATTGCCACAACCGTATATAAATCTTTAGTTTATATTAGAAGTATGAATTATTTAATAGCAATTTAAAATGTATGTATTCATATCGAACATATATACGGTTAAGGAACGCAAAACGTCGTTCATATCAAATTTGCAACTAACATTGTCTAATTTATTTCGCTAGATTTTCTCTTTAATTTGGATGTTTATGTTAAACTAGTTCCAAAACATATAAAAGTTATACAGAATACAATTTACAAAGATGCATGTATAGAGATATCTTAAACAAGTTATGGAAACATCGAATAAGCTGTCATAGTTGGAACTATTCTCAAAGCTAACCACTGCCACGAACAAATCAAGTAGTTCAAGAAAGACCCTTTTTCACAAATGTAAAATTCTTATATTCTTAAAAGGGTCTGCCAAATTTATAGCGTGTGGATATTCTAAGTCAATAGTATTATTTAAATTCGTTTTACATGGATGCTAATGCTACACACCAGAGTCGAACCGTTAAAAATCATTAAAAACATAGATAGTCAACCAATTGACTACTAATATATATTACCTATTATTTATAATTGTTGGTGTTGGATCATTAGAATGCAATGTTTAAGTTTAAGACAAATAAAAAGAATATATTTCTCTCTTTAGATAGGTCGGTCAAATGGTATAAAAGATGCAAGGATCTCTTGGATGAGAATTTGCATGCTGAAATCTAAGACTTTGCAGCTTAACAATCTCGAATCTTAGTTTACAACTTAAAGTTAATCTGATTCCGTTTAATTTTATCTTACAGGAACCTCATATGCATTGCTACATGCTTGACAAAAAAAAGTAATAGTTAATATTTATATTTATAGATAATGTTTCTGAAGTGACAAACATGATGATGCATTGAGACACCACGATAAGGGATAGTTGAACAGTAAAATTGAGTTGAAAACCTAAAATAACTAAAAACAGTTGACACACCATTTTCAACACGAAGAAGAAAATGCATAAAAATCTAATAAAAAGTCACGATCATGTATTATAATAAAAGATTTATTCAGTCGGCATTAGAACAGAATAATATATCTCGTTATATCTTGAATTCTAAAGGGAACTTTTGTTCATTTTTATATTGATGTTTATTCTAAAGAGAACAATAATTTGCTTTGAGGAGACAAAGAGATCATTATTTGCACATTAGATCCTAATCTTCAACATAATTGCGTTGATTCTGACCTTTTTTCATATTTAAAATTATAATCTAAAAAAAAACCATAGTTGAACAAGGAAATAGCATACTACTGCAAAACATCGAAACCTTTTTCACTAAATAAAATTTCAAATGAATAATCACAAAAATTGATGATTTATTCAATATAAGTGTTTCACTATCAAATCCATATTTTGTGTAAATTAATGAATTTTCACATTTTATACGTACATTGTATATTATAATCACCTTTTGACATCAATTGAACTATGAAAACTTGATAAGATGTTAATAATCGTAGATATTAGCATGAAAACGTACGAAAAAAGAAGAAGGATACCATTCATCGTAAATATCTCATCATCTTTAGGTCAGACACTTTTATTTTGCTCAACAGCAAACAAAAAAACTCCCAAAAACACATCTCTCGGGAAAAACAAGAAAAAAAAAACGGACTTACTTTTTCGTGAAAGTAATTTTTTTTTGGGTTAAAGGCAAATATGGATTGATGCTGTTGTCATGATTAATAAAATATGTACGGGTCTTTTAAAGAACATCAAAATCAAATTTAGCGAGTGGGTCCTTTTTTCTTTTACTCACTAGACTTAGTGCAATATTTGTCCCATATCTCCCTTTACCCCTACCACACCCCACCTCTTACCCCAAACATTTGTTGTATATAAATGAGGAAGTGATTGGGAAATGTAGACAAATACCCATCAAACTCTGTCTCTCACTTTCATTCATTAACTCATTCCCCAAAATAATACATTATATCAAACTCTCAAACTATTTTTCCTTTAACTTCATTCCTTTTACTACATAAAAAACCTCCAAACCCAACAAAAAACACGATGGTTAATGTGCCATTGGTGTTTTAGGTATAAAAGCTCTTTTCAAAAGTAAGATCACAAATGATAGCTTCCGAGACTACTTCCAAGAAACCGGTCAAAGATTCCGGTAAGCATCCGGTTTACCGCGGAGTCCGAAAGAGGAACTGGGGAAAATGGGTGTCGGAGATACGCGAGCCGAGGAAAAAGTCTCGTATATGGCTCGGTACCTTTCCTACGCCGGAGATGGCGGCGCGTGCACACGACGTAGCTGCTCTTAGCATTAAAGGAACGTCCGCCATACTCAACTTCCCTGACCTCGCAGGCTCTTTCCCACGGCCAAGCTCGATCAGCCCTCGTGACATCCAAGCCGCCGCTCTCAAAGCCGCCCACATGGAGATCATCATGACCACGTCAGAGTCTTCTCCTTCTCCTTCTTCTTCATCTTTCACGTTTTCCTCCTCACAGTCTTCTTCTTCGCTGGAGTCTCTAGTGTCTTCCTCTGGGACTGGTTCGGAGGAGCTAGGGGAGATCGTTGCGCTACCGAGTTTGGGATCGAGTTACGACGGTTCTACCCAGCTCGGTAACGAGTTCATATACTCTGACTCGGCAGACTTTTGGGTTTATCCACCGCAGTTGTCAGAATGTGATAATGAGATGATTCCTAGTTTCAGTGAAGGCTTGTTATCACAGGATTGGGATCTTCAAGGACTGTTTAATTATTAAGTAATAATCATATATAAATTGTGGTTACTAGTAATAATGTGTTTAATTACGTTTTAGTGAAACCCTTTATTTTGTGGGGTGAGTTTAGGGTTATTGTCTTTGATCCTCTTACTCAGTTTGTGTGTGTGTGAGAGAGAGCGCTCCATGTATGAATACTTGTACAGAATTCTGATAATAATTACCTAATAAATCAGTGTGGAAAATTTTGAATAATAATGTACTGGTGGTATACAGCCAATGGAAGCCACGTACCTTTCTGTTTTGAATGTAGGTTGTTGATTCAAAATTATTGAATATTCCTTTTCCCTCTTGCCAATTAAAACTTTCTTCTGATTATAAGCATATAAACTAATCCTGACCAATTGTTGTAGTCTGCCTTTTTCCTTTCTTATTTTCCACTATTGGATTATTATATTGTTCATATATCTTAAGATAATCAACACAATTGAATAATTTTGCCTTCTAACCTTATTGTATTAATCAAACAATGTGACTTTTACTCATTGCATTTCCTTTTGCGACCCAATACACAAAAGAATCTCTTCTTCTGTCTTTCGAGCACTAACCACTAAGTGTGGTATTGTAATACAATTAGCTAGTATGATTAGAATATTTGTACAAAAGTTAAAACTGTAATGAATGGTCAAAATGAATCCCAATTTTTTTTGGTCACAATCTTACGTATCTTTTCTTTTTGCTGTTGAAAAAAGGCTATAAACTTTAATGATTAACTGTGTAATTATAATACGTCACTATCCATTCATTTATTTGAGTAGATCATAGATTGAAAGAAGAATCTATTGAAAGAACATCTCTATAAGCAGGATTAACGTGATAAATGTATGCAATCTGTTCACAGCTCCATGAACTTAATTATTGTGGTATTTTTATCCAAAAGTGGTATATTTGGAGATAAAACTTATTTAGTGGGATTTTAGACTAATTATCTTCTATATATCTAGTTATTTTGTCCTCGCATATATATACTAATAAAGGAAATGAAAAGAAATATTGTTTGGTTAGAGAATATCATAATGTTTTTATATTGCCACTAACTTTATTTCTTTGATTTATAATAATTTTATAATTTAAAATAAAATAAAGTATGATATATTATATATTCAAATGATGTTTTGTAAAATATTGTCCCAATTGTTACTTTAGCATCTATTATAAAATTATAGCATAATATAAATTTTTATCAATACATTTAATTTCATCCTTATATTAGAGTTTTAGTTTTATAGTCATTATAACCTTTTAAAACCAGAACGAAACTTTTCGGATAAACATTTTTAATTTAAATCAAATTTACTTTGCTTTGCTTGCTATTTCAAGGATGCTCATGCTCTCAATAATTGTCTTTGTGAAAGATATTGGATAGTGGAGTCTGATATAGTAAGAAAAGTATATGCTATGTACAAAACCTTAATTTTATATGTTTTTGTCCCGACAGTTAATATTAAAATTTAGCTTTATCAAAGAAGTTATAGAAAAGCTGATACTGTTTGAACATTTTGTAATCAACGTCCATGTAATTTATTTGATTAAAAGAGTAACTACCTTAGAATAATGCAGTCTCCAAAGCCGTTTATTTGTATTATTGCTTTTAGGTTTTTAATTGTTTAGAATTGAATTTAGATGTTCTAGAAAACTTAACATGAAATATCAGGCATTCCAAACACCTTTTTATGATTATCTCCATCTGATATGATTACTTGTAATATATTATTCGTTCAATCATCAATATTATATTGAACTTAAATGTGTATTAGAGTCTCCTATGACTCAAATTAGAAATCTGCAATATTGCGAATAGTCTTGATAGCTTTAACGTCATATATGTATCATGTTTCGGATATATTGTAATCTCTAATACTATTACTGAAACAGGGATACTTCCACTCTTGTTTACTGGATATACTTCCATTATAAACAAGGTCACATGTTCGAGCTTTATCAAAAATAAAGTTCACATGTTCGAGGAATGAATTTACTAATTAACATGCGATTAGAGAGGAAAAAGATCGTAGATGTAGATTATCAAAGCCTAACTTTTATGCCAGCATTCGAAAGATATATCATGATCCCTAATCCCTATTTAGTGCATTATGCATTCTAGTCACTCTTACTATTCTCTACTATGGAATTTAACCTGTTTTAGGCCAATATTTTTATATATTCCAAACAAATTGTCAACTAGTCTAATTTAATTTCAGCTATCATCTTCGAATAAATTAGTCGTTAATAAGTCACGTCCACCCTAAAATAATAGAAGTACGGAGTATAGAATAATAGCAAATGTGTCAGAAAATCAAACTTCAAAAAACTAAAAAAAAATCCGACATGAGTCATTGAGTTTAGGGATGATTTAAATTTTAACGGTCCGCTCTAAGGAGGGGATAAATTTAAGAAATACGATATTGAGGAGTAGAAGGTCAATGACGACTGTTGGAAAAGAAATTTGTGAAATACTCAAATATTGAGGAATCAATTCATGCATCTTTGTTTTTACATTTATATATCTATTATTGCAGCGTTGGCATCAGACTAATAAATTATTACATTTATTATAAGACCATATATATTTTAAATTCGAAATGACATTGCAACGGTGGTTGGATGATATGATGGCGCAGTATCATCATTTCTATACAATATCAAAAACATACTTTTTTGGACTAATTCTATTGGAGATTCGTCTTCCAAATTTAGTTCGGTTTGACATGTCAAACATTATAATACACTTTCGTGATAATGATACAATTAATATAGTAGGGTTCGTTCGTTGGTTTGATATATTATAAACTTATTTAGTAAGAAATATATATTATAACCTTGATATATTTGTCGATTTGGGGTGGATGTAGTTGATGGCAATGCAAAACTAAATTCAGCTTTAAAGTTCGACAATTACAGAAAATGTGGAGGTTCACTGTACATTTCTTTTCCTTTTGGGTCGCCATACAACATATTTTTTAGTATTATGATTTTTTTGTGATCATGTTAATAATTTTCAAAACTGTATATATTTTTGTCCCAGTTTCTCATATTATAGTTTCAAAGTTGAACTAAGATATGATTACTACTAATCTGACTACTGTTGTTATACTATGGAATCATCCTCAGCTCTGTTATGAGATCGTAAACGAATCCTAAATATAAACTGGGCCAACAACAGCATGAGCATTTCCACATTATATAATACCATTTCATTGCCACATACCAAATGTACGACGAGAGTTACAAGTTATACCTTCCCAAGTCGTACACACAGGCTTTCTCTTTTGTTGTATTCGTAGCACATTACAACACTCGCTTGATACACAAAAACACATCAAAATGTCTAAACTTGTAAAGAACAATTAAGAGGGAGGATTCTGTTCTTTCTCCGACCTAATCTTGATTTTCTCTGGCAATTAAAAAAAGGCAATGAGGGATGGTGTGTCTGTGCATACAGAATTTGGACCCTTCTGTTCTCTTTTCAGCTTTGTTCTCATAGGGTCGTCTTTACCTGCCTCACACTGAATTTGAACCAAAAAACAAGTTTTGTTAGACATGGACTTGACTTGAGTAAAGATGCAGAGAGTAGAATCTGTTTCCAAGATTCGTAGATTTCATTTCAGGATGAAGAAGCAAGTAAACTGGTTCAAGAAACTACCTGAAAAAAAACTTCCAAAATCGTATATTTCAGGCATTCTCTGCGTCAGGAGCAAGAGATGACGAGTTCTTGTTTTGCATCATCAACGCGTCCTGCTTACACAAGCTTGGCTTTTTCTTGGAGCCCGCTTGCTTTCTGACCTTAAAATCTTCACCCTTAAGCATATAAACATTCCCAGGTGCATTAGGAATGGTGAAATCAGCAGGGTTTCTGTTGAAGCTGCACACAAAAGGTCCTGAAGTGCTCGTTGGAGGACAAGCAGAGACAGTGCTGTAGCTCTGCGCCTTTTTCGTCTTCTGCTTCTTGGCGTTGTCCTTCATGTGAAACTTCAGAGGAAGCATCATGGAATCTGATGCTCCAAGAAGCTGGAACTTCCCTGGATCACTGCCGCTGCTGCTTGCAAAGATTGGCTTTTGGTGATGACTGTTGTTGTTGAAGATTGGCGCAAAGTTGTTGTCTTTTCTCTTCGTTTTCTTTTCCTGATGATTCCATGAAGCTTGTAATGTGAAGTCAACGTTCTCTGCAGAGCTCTTATCACCTTGCAACGCAAACGAAGATGTCCCAACCGGTGGAATAACGGCACGAGAAGTCTCTGGAGTCGTCACTCTTCTGGTGTAAAGATCGAAAGGCCAATGCTTTGCGGCGTAAGCTGTCTTACTACATTCCCTTAGTTGAGGTCCTATAAACTCCTTGGACTGGTTAACCGGTGAAAACGTTGGTTTCACAAACTTAGAGTCAGTGGGAATGTTTGATCTCAGCCGTGGATCCATGAGGCTCAGTAAGTGCATCGCTGGTATGCTACTCTCGTTAGAGGAAGTGTCCACTGGTTTGCTGCTGACTCCTTCAAAGTTTAGATTCCGAGTATTTGGAGTATCCAGCTTCTGAGGGAGACTGAGAGAAAGTGGTTGATGATGAACATGTTGTGGTGATGTGATGGAAGATGACCAAATGGGATTAGAAGGTTGTCTAAACTGCTGCTGTTGAACACTTTGGCACGTGTTACACGCACGTAACACCCGGAATGGAGAGTTCTGTTGAGTAGCCAGAGCTGTTGTAGTAGCATTCCCTAGCCAGTGACAGTTGTGACTGCTCTGCCCTACTAAACCAGGAAACTGGATGGAGCTTGATTGGGTTAGAGGTATACCAAAACCGGAAGTTACATTGTAAGGCTGACCAAACTGACTTGTAGAGAATAAGTCCAGAGAGTTCGGCTTTCCGGTTAACAAATCGCCGTTCCTAGCGTTATTATTACCAAGAAGAGGATTTGGTGGCCTTGATGTGTTGTCCATGGTGTTATCATAGGTTTCATTGAGATCAATCAGCAGAGCATTCTTGGATACACTAGTCGTTGGCTGTTTGTCCTCTTCTCTGTCAGGAAGACACCTTTCGTATTGGTTTTTAGCCATAAGCTCCACTATTTCCATGGGAATGTCATCTATCTGCTCAGATGCCTTGCTTTGGATTCTCGACGCTCCCGGAAGTTCCTGGACCGCAACTTCCTTGCCCTTGCCGTGTCCCGGATAAACATCCTGCTGCCAAGTCAAAGCAAAACACTTTTTTTAAGCGTGACACATAAACAATAACATCACTTTGGAACAATCATTAGATATGAAGTATGTTTGCTGCATATCACAAAGTTCAGATTTTTCATTCCATAATGGGAAAATATTTCATTTCCATCAACAAAATGCGAAAACAGAGACTTACTTACGCAACAGAAGCACATAAAAATGATAAAGTTTGTACCTTTTTTACTGACAGAAATTTCGTCAAAGGAAAAAACAGAGAGATTGATCAAAAAGCAGTAAGAATGATAAAGTTTGTACCTTTTGCAGAGAACTAGCCGCAACTTCAGTAGAAGAGGCGTATCTTAGCTTATCGTTAAGCAACGATGATCCAACGGCATTTCCGTTGCTGCTAAAGTTAACATTTACTCCACTTCTCAAGCACCCATCATCCGCATTAATAGACTTAAAGGAGGAACCAAAGTTTCGGAAATGGTTTGTCCCTAAACCTTTCAGCATCGCACGGTGATCGTCTTCTTTGAAATGCATTCTTTCTTGCAAAGGCAATGGAAAGACCGGCGGTGGCCTGTCGTCAAGCTGAGGGTATGAACAGTCAAGCCATTTCGAATTCAGAAAATCTCGAGTAGACTGAGGCATCGGATTTCTTGCAAAAGCTTGCGGAAAAGTCTCTGGCTTTCTCGGTTTCACAAGATTCTTCCCATCATCAACGCTGTTACCAAAGTTAATAATGGTGCTGTTCTTGTCAGCTTTCCTCTTCCTCTTTTTGGTTACAGTGAGATCTTTCTCTGTTCTCTGTGTGTGCAGAGGACAAGGAACCATTTCTTTGACAGGAAACGAAGAGCGAACAGGACTCGCGTAGTCGTAAGGATCCTTTGTTGAAGCTTCTTCCACAACCTGAAACCTTCTGTTTCTCTGCTTTCCCTTAATAGCCACTTCTTTGTCAAACCCACTGTCAGTGGATTCGTGGGTCTCAACACTCGGCCTTGACTCCTCCGCGCCAGAGACAGTGTTCTCTTCAGAGTCGCCACAACTCTTGGAAGCGTTTTCAGAGGTTTTGCCAACTGTGCTTAATATCCTGCTAGCGTAATTCGTCATCTCATCATCAGGCCTGGACTCTTCTTGATCTCCACAAGATTTTCTTTTCGTACCTCTCACCGATTCCTTTTTCGATGGACTTTCTTTGTTTCTGTTACTCAACAGCTCACTCAATAGACGAACCTTCCGAGTTTTCCTACGGTTGTTGTGACCAAGAAGGTTTCTACTTACTGGTGACGCATTATCACATTCTTCATCTCGATGACTATACCTATCACTCTTCTTGATTTTCTTGTCAGGCGTATCATCAACCACACCAGCAATCTCTTCCATAGTTTCTCTCTTGCTGGCCTGCTCTGGACTAGCGAGTAGTTTTCTACTCTTGCTCTTAACTTTAGAAGCATCCTTAGCTCTGCGGCGAGCTTTCTTGAGCATTTTAACTGCACAGCTTACGGAAGTTACATATACACATCTGCTTCAAGAGAGAGCAACAAGCACAACTTTGAATCTCGGTTTTGCATACCTGTCTGAACATCGTTTTTCTTCTCTTTCTTGTCGGAGACAATCAGCGAGTTCTGTTCTCTGATTGCTGAAGAGCCAGCATCAAGCTTTATCTCCTTAACAGATCTCAACTGTGATTGCAATCGACAATCTGTAATAAAAATCCCAAATTTTCAAGTTTGAGACTGCTAATACATATATGAACATGAACATGAAACAATAGTTAACAACTTAAGTGCTTTTTAGTTTACCAGTATCATTGATGTCTTTGATGCAGCTTGGACAGCGCCACCATCTAGACTTTCGAACTGGTAAAGCAGGAAGACAAAAGCTTTCGTGGTCCCTTAACTCAACACTCTCTTCCGAAAATGGCCAACATTTTCTGTAATCTCTCTGACGGATCTCAGCTACATATCCACTGCATAATCAAGAATAATAAACTCACTTCACTGAACTAATTAAGATAACAAATGGTGTGACGTGATTAACCATTTGCTTATATACCGTATAGAGAAATGTTCGCATTTCCCCGCATCAATTCCATCAGTTGCGTCCGCTAGATCTATAGATATTGAATTGATCTTGATGGAGGATTCCATTATGATTTGCCTTTGAAGGATATATACACTTGCAGGCTCACTCGTTCGCTACCATTTGACTAGAAGCAACAACAAAAATTTACAAATAGAAGATGTTAACATCTCAAAACTGATCAACTATGCACGAGAAATGCGTTTCATAATCTCGACAACTACATAAAAACATGATCTTTTAGCATATTTTCCATAGATAAACGCATAAGATAAGATCCCTTTGTCAACATTTGAGCCCCAAAAGGAAATAAGGAACCCTAGGTTTACATAAAATCAAGAGCACAAATCATCACCATAGTCGGATTCCGTGTAGATTCCTCACCAAAATTGATCATTTAGGTCACATCCACGCACCATTGATCATTACAGATAAAGATAAAGACGTAACCCCGACTTAAAATTAGGGTTTTAAAAGACAAAGACGACTCGAAAAGCTGCAACCTTTATCCGAGTGTCACCAGAAAAATTGATATGGACCGGTTTCAATGTTATCTTCTTCCCATTTCCCACAACCACAAAACCGCCGAGAAATATTAATTTTATAATGTTGAGTCATTTAGGGTTAGTAATCGAAATTAGAAATTAATTTAGCAAAATTAAATCCATTCGCTAATCTAAAACAACCTATAAGCCCCATCATTAATACGGGCAAGATCTTTGCGTGAGGTCAGCACGATTCGCGAGACGAAGATTGAACAGTAAAGCTTCGCGAAATTGCCACTCAAATTTCATAGTCAGACACAAGTCAAACAAAACCCCTTTCCGACAAGATCAGCCATTTCTAACCTCAAACACCATGAAACACCCAAAAAGTAGAGATTCGTGTCGGAAACACGCACCTGGACTATCCGAGCGAATCAATCGGACCCTGGTGCGAAATCCAGCTCGATCCTCCACGGCGAGGGAAGAAATCTGTATCGGCGGATAGAGAAACTCGTGGAGATGAAGATTGTGATAGGTCCGAGGATCGATTCTTCTGGAAATGAGAATAATTTGAGTGCGAATCTTGGAGAAACCCTAAGCCTTCACGCAAGAGGAGAGAGAAGAGGGCTTTTTGTTTTTGCGGATAGATAGAGAGAGAGAGAGAGAGTGTGTGTGTCTTCGAGAGAGAAAAGAGAGAGAAATGAAGCTTTTGGCTTTTTTATCCTTGAAATGAGGGTTTGTTACAATAAAGAAATAGAGAAAATTGATTCCATTTAAAAATAAAAAAATAAAGATAAAAGCCCATCTGTGTGAGCATTTATAAGGCCGTGTGTATCTGTAGATGCACACGTCAAAACACGAATTTATATTAATTTTAGTTTTCAAAATTTTCATTAAAACTGGATGTTGACAACAATTTATATTTCCTTTCAATAATGTAATTTTTGTTGAAGCCAAAAAAAAAGGAAAATATTTTTGATTTATGTTTAGTTTGTTTACAAATTGTGTTCTGTCTTGATGCGACGGGTGAATACAAACGAAACGAATAAGAAATTGACACCTGATGGTAATGTGCGGTTCTTATTATTACAACCAAACCAAACTGGGTATGGTTGTGTCCTAAAGAGAAAAACCCTAGGCGCGTGTAGTTCAGGCAGCTCCATTTCGCGTGTGAGATGTAAAGTTCGCCTCTAAACGCGGATCCTAGAGGCTTATCGGCACATAGGTGGAAAGACATTGGAGCGTGAGCTGCACGCGGAACGAAGGAAAGTAAGGGAGGATATATAACAATAAAATAAACCCTAATAGTAAATTGTAACGTCGCCCTAGAAAAACCGATTTTTGAGCAATAAATTAATTTATATAACCCTAATTACCCTTATCATCTTCACAGAGAGAGGTCTGTTCACATGAATTGGTGTTGTAAATCTTTTTGATTATCTTGTAATATCAGTTTTCTTTATTACAATGAATATTGTTTGGGTTGTGGTGGAATTATCTTGTGATACCCCACTCGTTGGGATACGACACCCTATTATGATGTATGCTGGATTTAAACACCTTTTTAGATATATTTTTCTGTCTACTTTCACATATTCATTAACCTACATGGTTATTGGCTCTGCTTAGTAGTTAGTACTTACTAGGAACTACTATATATATTGAAGCATCAGCGTAGTTCAATAAATTCAAATTACAAATATACAAGTATTTTCGGATTCTACGTACATATTGGCGGGTACCTAACAAACATTATTTTAAACCGGCAAAAAAAAAAACATTATTTAAAATTATTACATGGCCTCTGGTGGCGTTCGAGTCTCCTTCTGAATTCTATAAAATATCATTTGATTCTTTCGTTGTTAAAATATATGGATATTTTTTTGTGGGGAAATTTACTCCAGTTTTCTCCCCCTTTTTCCCTAATGTATTTATTTGTCCTTTCGCTTATACATATAATATCACTTTTGTTTGTTTGATGCAACTAATTATGATGGGTTTGAAAGTTTGTGACATAAGCTATATATAGATCCATTATTTCACAGACTCTGGATATAATATAATCGTTCTTCATCTCTTTTGCCTTTAGTCAAAACTCATCTTAAGAAAATTTTGACGAGAGCACTTATATAGTCATAACCTTTCGACCAATCAATATTTTAGCTGGCCGATCGATGCCATTTAAATACCCAGAATACCGATCAAGTAACAGAAAAGTAAGTATTAAAGCGTTAATTAAAAAGAGATCGCATATTATAGAATACTTTAGGCCATATATAGGTTAACAAATGGTATATTTCGTATGGGGACTTGCATATTACTCCCTCTGTTTCAATATATAAGGGGTTTTAGAGTTTTGTTTTTGTTTCAAAATATAAGGGGCTGTGCAAAAGTAAATGTGTTTTTATTACTTTTAATTATTTATATTCTGTAGATTTCTTTTTCATTGGTTGAAATGTTTTGGAATTGATGATAAAATATATTTTATTTTAAAAAGTACAAAAATTAAATGGGTTCTTAATCTGTGTGCGAAAACCTTAAACCCTCTATATATTAAAATAGAGGGAGTATTAATTAAGCTATATGTATCATGTATGTAAGGAGGGAAGATGATGTGAGGTGCTGAGGTTTAGGGAATTAGGGGAATGGCCACCAACGCATCATTAAAGACTTGCATGTGATACTCACTTCCTTCTAGTTCTTTGATTTTTGGTTCTTCCACACATCACACCATTGCATAGATAGATTATACATTATATATATATAATGTATATATGTATCCTTCTTGCATGCATGTTCGCATACGTGCAAATAGCCCGTTGTGTGGTCATAAATGGAAAAGCTATTCAAAAGTACTAAATCATTTATCAGCCTCTTTAGTATTCTCTGGACATTTATATACTTTCTCCAACTTTGAAAATGTAAGTTATGTAATCGTCAAAATATTATAATGGTTATATAGCAAAAGCAAGTATATACTAATTGTATTTGTTGCCTCTGCTCCACCAACGAAAAAACGGGGCACCTCTTTATCATCTCGGCTTGAGCTGGACCTCATTCACCACAACATATTCGCCAGAGTTCCTTGGACGTGTAGTTATACATACTACCGTGTACCTCATCTAGAAAGATAGTGACAATAGGTTCCACAACTAGTTGTCTTCTCCGACAAGATATCATCTTCAGATGAATATGGAACTATGGATCGAGAGGTTCACAATATTACTTTCCAAGCCAAAAGTACAGGAAGAACTTTGGTATAGCAACCTCTTGTCACTCTGGTTCTAGAGAAACCGAGTTCTCATAATTTTGGATCTGAATTAATTAAAGTTCAAGTAGAAATTAAATCGGATATAAATAGCTAAAATTGGTTTAATTTTGATTATAAAAGACTATATATCGAATGCGTAAGCGATAACAAATCCACCGGTCGATTTCCGATGAATAACAAACGGACGAACTTCTGTTTGTTTTTGTTAGTTCGGCAACTGAAAAATTAAACTCAATACTCTTAGCGGGACTACTTTAAAGGAAAAAAAATATAGAAAACCAAATGACACAATATTGGAAAGGAATCCTAAAACCAAAATGAAAAAAGCCTAAAACGACAACCTTTTATCAGAAAAAGCTTATAGTTTATCCATTTTAATCTTGCAGTTCAATTGTTAATATCTTATAAAATTTTGGAGATCTCGTTGTTATAAATTAAATATTAAGACTATAATACTACAGGTGATTTTTTTTTTCATTTCTTAAATAATATAATTTATTCAGTTTTATTATATTTTTAATAAATCTTATTACAAACTTATGTAGATATTTCAATATGACTAGTCGAAATAAAATTGAAAGTTTGAGAAAGAGACTTGAAAGAGAATATTACTACCGTGAAGGCGAGAACCAAACGTTGATGAGTGGGAACATAGGACGAGCAACAAGAGGTGTCGTAATTGGAATTGAGATCAAGCGAATACAGGATCGGAGTGGTTTACATATTCAGAGTCGGTTTTTGTAGTATGTATATGATGTATAGTCTCTTTTGTTGCTTGGCTTATTCCAAGTGAATTACTTGTCATCTTCACTCTGTTATGTAATACTTTGTCTTAGTGTTTGATTCATGTTTTTTTTCAAGATTTAGATTCATAATGTAATTCAAAAGATTTGATTATGAGTTGTTCCAAAAACAAAAAAAAACTTGTAACTTGACATGCGCGATTCGGATAAATCCGGTGATAAAGGGAGCATACAAATTGTAAGGTTTTAAAACATTATTATGAATAAAATACAATTTAAAAAAAAAAGTAAAAAAGTATTATAGAGGGTTGAGTTAAAAAAAAGGGGGATTTTTCTGGACGACAAGGTTAAAACCCTTCAATTTGTCCGACGGCGAATAAAAAGGTCGACCGGCGGCGGAAGTGGTCTGTATATCAATCGCTCGGTGGTTTGTCGGAAATCTTTACCCCGTCTCAATAATGTCGTCTTCGAAGCGGAAGCGCGACGCCGGAACCGCCGTGGAAGATAATCCGGATGGTGGAGAAAGTGCCGACGGTGGTGATAACAGCAATACCGGCTTCTTCGATGTATATGGACCTGAAGTAAACACCTCCTAATTGAAATTCGATTGATTGAATTTATGTCAAAATATATGTGCTTTGTTGCTCAAACTGTGCATCTGATTGATCTTCTTGGCAGGGGAAAGCAGAGCTCGTTTTCAACAGCCCTGAAACAACATTGAACTTACAAGTAGGTTTCGGTTGCAATAGCTATTCGAATTCGAAACTTATTAATAATCTAATTGTTTTAGTAAATTCTGATGTGTGTTTGAAAACAGGATGTGCAGGGACTTGTGACATGGGTTCTTGCAGAAGGCTATATGCCCTCCTGGGTTTTTATCAAGGTATCAACAAGATCTTGTCTTTACGGTTATCGTTGTGAAGTACAAAATGACATTTCAAGGATATGTTTTGTTTTTTTGGCAGAACACGCCTCTCATTCCAAAGGTTGTAATGCTCTACCTTCCTGGATTGGATGCAGCTTTATACTTATCACAGTCTAAAGCACTTGCTAGTTTCAAATCATGTTGTGGCAATCCTATACCGCTTTTAGCTTTGAGGTTGGTGTTAAGTTTTGGTTGCTTCTCTTTACTTATAGATTATTTGAATACAATTATTCTGTTGGTAAAAAACATATTTTGCTTTCATTTTCATTGTTAGCTGTGTAGTTGATGAGATGAAGACAGTCGATACGATCCTTACTTCCACGGCTAAAAAGAAGAAAACTGTTACTAGCTCAGTGGAACCACCTCTCCCAGTATCTACACCAGGTAGTGGAAAGCAATAGTTTCTTCATTTTCAACAATTCTTCTTGCAATATAAGGCTCTAACTATATAACATCTTTCGTAGAAGCATCCGATATGATCATCGATAATTCATTCGCTGCGCTTACGAAAGACATACCATTCCCTGTTACATACTATACTCTAACTCGAAAGGAAATGGAACAAAATGGGTACACTTTTGAGACAGGTACGAGCTCCGTCTATAAAATAGTAAAAGCTGTTTACTTTTTTTCCTTTGTGTCACATCGTTTGGTAAATTTTACTTTTCGTTATGCAGAGTTTACTTCTACACTTCCTGCACCATCAGGATCATGTCCCCATGAAATTTTGGCTCTTGATTGCGAAATGGTAAACAACTATGTTCTCTAGCACTTTCCTGATGATGCTTTGTGATATATAATCGTTTGAGCATATATATATTTTTAGAGGTTTATTTCTTTTCCTTTTGTTTCACCGTTAGTGTATTACAAAGGATGGTTTGGAGTTGACAAGAGTGACGCTGGTGGATATCCAAGGACAGGTTCTATTAGATAAATTAGTCAAGCCGTCAAATCCTATTACTGATTACAACACAAGGTAAGCCATGCTGATATGCTTGGTTTGGTCTGTATCACATACAAGTTTCATAATAGTATTGGTATCTGTTTGCAGGTATAGTGGAATAACAGCTGAGATGATGGAGGGAGTTACAACAACTATTAAAGATATTCAGGTTTCAGTCACGAGATCTATTTAACTTTTATCACATACAGGTTAGGACTATGTAACGAGTCTAGTATAAATTAGAGCCGTTTGCTATAATGTTCAGGAAGAGTTTGTGAAGCTGGTTTTCAAGGAGACGATATTAGTGGGACACTCGTTGGAGAATGACTTGCTTTCTCTGAAGATCTGTCATAATCTGGTGATTGACACTGCAGTACTATACAAGCATCAACGGGGTGGATCTCGTGGATCTTTCAAACCGAAACTTCGAACTCTAGCGCAAAAGTTTCTTTCCAGAGAGATACAGATGTCTGAGTCCGGACATGACAGCTCCGAGGATGCAAAAGCAGCCTTGGATTTGGCACTATTGAAGATAAAACATGGCAAGAGATTCTTATCCTTAGCCTCATCATAGTTTAAATCTTGTTTTCTTTTTTGTCTGTTTCCTTATTTTCTGGCTTCCATTAGGACCTGATTTTGGTTCGCCACCGGAAATGATAAGGAAGAAGCTTCTCACCATTTTGAATGAGAGCGGGAAAACAACTTCTATCATCGACAATATCAACATCGTGAAGCGGTATGCTTCTGAGTCTTCAAATTCAATTCCAGTTTCTTCTGACGACGAAGCCCTTTCAAAGGCCATCAAGGAGGTAAAAACAAAAACAAAAACTTCTGAATCCATCTCATCTTCCTAAAAGTTTAAGACATGAGTGTTGAATATGGTGTCTAGGTAAAGAACAAGCGGTCACAATTCGTTTGGACACAGTTCTCAGAACTGAATACACATTTCCAGAGCAGAGCGGATGATCCAGAGAAACTGAATTCAAGACTAGCAAAGATGATCTCGCTGCTTACATGTAGCGAGAAGAAACCCCGCAAAAGCAGTGTTTCACGTGAAACGAAGGAGATCTTGAAGAAAATGGATGAAAGAGTCCATGCTCTTCACGCTGCGTTACCAGCAAATGCAATGTTTATAGTTTGCACAGGACATGGAGACACATCCATTGTACACAGGTTTGTTGCAACTCTGTTCAACTCTTGAGTGTTTTTAAGGAACAAACAGCTAACAGAATCTCTTGTGGAATTTGCGATCTGATTGGATTTGTTATCTGTGTGTTATGAAGAGTGCGGAAAATGCTTAAAGATGAGAAAGAAATCGGGTTTGAACGTGAGAAAGTTGTGAAGGTTCTTGAAGAGCTTCAAGCACAAGCCGAAGTAGCTCTCTGTTTTGTTGGTATCAAGCAATAACCGTACACACAGCCACCAAAATTTTCCTTGTATACCTTAAGAGCAACGCAACAAACGCTCGTTAGCTTCAGTTCAGTATTTTAATTCTTAATATCATTGGTTTGTAACATTATGTAGGTCTTTCTGTTTATGGCCATTTTCATATAGCGATTTACATTTAAACAGAGTTGTTTATTTCAAGCTCAGTTGCAGTGTAAGGAGATAGAGAAAAAAGGCAAATTATGGTCAAGTTAGAGTCGTAACTTGAAGTAACACATTATTATTAGTCCTTTACAAACTAAAATTATAAGGATAATAACGTGCGCAAACTATTAAAACTCCATTGGTTTAAATGCCGGTGATCAAATGTTAAGTTTGTTGTGTATTTTGACTAATAATAGACTGCAATTCATATACACATGCGAAAATAACATTATCCAAAATTTACTGTAAAACAATTAATAAAAGTATTAAAACCACATTATTTTATTTCACTAATCAAAGCGAATTAATGACGTCATTATAATTTTAGCTGATGGTTTAAGTCCCTTTAATTAATTATATAGTTCGTTCTTAAATAATGGAAAAGTGATTTAGTACGTGCACGTGTAAAACGATCTCAATGTATCGCTCGGAGTCTCTCCTTTAGCGCCAAATTCCGCTCGTATCCTCGGAAAAAACCTAGATACTGATCGAACGATCTAAACCGTTAGATAGTCCCTTTTCATCTCAGCCGTTAGATTTGGTGATCAAAATCCAATCAAAAATTCAATTTTTCTAGTTTTTTTCAAAAGATCCCAAAGAGACGAAGAAGAACACAAACGAAGAAAGAGCTCTTCAGCTGAAGCAGAGAAATCTCAAATCTCTATCCTTCCCTTTGAATTTCTGCTATGGAGAAACTCGATCAGGATTCGGGCTCTAATCAAAACCTTCTGCCGCGTCAATTGGATTTCTCTCCTCCGGCGGCTGCTGTGGAGGAGACGAAGAAGATGGATTCATTTCATGAAACTGAGAAGAAGCAGTCGCATTCCGTTCTCGATTCACAGTCGTCTCGGGAAGATCAGAAATCAGAACAACCTCTTCCTCAGCCTCAGCCTCTACCTTCAGTTCCCGATACCGAGGCGGAGCAACTCCGATTAGGTGTAAAGTCTCTGAAACCGCCGCCGTCTTCTCCGGTTAAATCTCCCCAGCAATCAGCGACGGAAGTCACGCCACCACAGAAACCTCCGCTTCATCGGTTTAGTCACCAGGTGCAGAAGAATCCGTTGGTGAAATGTCGAGTGAGGTAAATTCGATTTTCTCGTTTTTCAAATTCTTGATCAATTTTCAGCTTTTGGGGATTGTTACGCTAAAAATTCAGAGTTTTGAAATTTTGATTGTTTATGTAGCAAGCAAGATCCTTTGACACAACTTGAGTCCTCCAAAGATGATACTCCAAACAAACAGAAACATTGCAACTGTAAAGCTTCAAAATGCTTGAAGCTGTAAGTTACTCATTCCTCAATCTTTGACCTGTTCTTGGATGTTAAATCATTGTGAATGATGGTAGTGATGTATGTGTACAGGTATTGTGAATGCTTTGCGTCTGGATCGTACTGCAACGGTTGCAATTGTTTAAACTGTCACAACAATTTGGAGCATGAGTCCTCAAGGCAAGAAGCTATCACAACGCTCTTAGAGCGTAATCCGGATGCGTTCAAGCCAAAAATTGCTGGTAGTCCTCATGGAATGAATGATCTGCAGGAGGATGTGCGTCAAAGCCTGATTCTGGGGAAGCACAGCAAAGGATGCCACTGCAAGAAATCAGGATGCCTGAAGAAGTACTGCGAGTGTTACCAGGCGGATATCTTGTGTTCAGAGAATTGTAAGTGTCAGGATTGCAAGAACTTTGAAGGAAGCAAAGAGAGGAATCCGCATCTTCTTCATGGACCTCAGGTCTCAGAAACCTATGTGCAACAGTCGTCGGCTCATGCAGCTGTTAACCGCGCCATCGATGGTTATCTGGAACCTTCTGATTCAAGAAAGAGAAAGATCAAAGATGCTTCACATTCTGTGCCAGCTAGAGTTCCACACATTGTCCAAAACCAGACGGTAAAAAAAAAACAAAATTACTTATCTTGCCGAGTTATAACAATCCTTTAATGTGATTGAAAAGCATGATTCTTTGTGTTTTTCTTGTTCCAACTAGGTGAATCACGTTATAAGGAATGGTGATACTTCTCTGTTTTTAATCCCTAAGGACCTTAACAACAAGGCTGTCTCTGGATCTACCACATTTACTTACAGGTTGGTAATATCAAAATTTACCGTGCTACACCATCTAAAAGGTTGATCTGACTGTTTATTTCTATAGGTCTTCTCTGTCAAATACTATCCAGCCGCGCCATGTGAACGAGCTATGTTTGCTTCTGGTCTCAAAGTCGGTGGACGTGGCAAAGAAATTGTCAGGTACGTATCATACAGTTAGATGTGTTACTCATATAATAAGAAGTTTGTTAAATGAATGACTGATTTGAGGATTTCAGGCGGTAAATGTGAAACAGAGAAAAGGAACGACAGAGACTCTTCTGTTGATACAGCTCAGAGAGATGCTAATGAGATGAATGACTCTCCAGATTGTGTTCTTGATGCAAATAGAATGGACGAGAAGCCATTGTCTCCAGCGACACGTGCATTGATGTGTGATGAGGAACAAATGATCATATCAGAGAAAGAGACATCAGCCCAAGGGAAAGAAGACGCAGACACAAGCTCGGAGGTTTACTTAGAGCAAGAAAGACAGATCTTGTCAAGCTTCAGGGACTATCTCATTCAGCTCTCAAACCGTGTGAGCATAAACGGTAAGTTTATTTTTTTGCTTGAGACCATATCCTTTGTTATTGAGGTGGACTAATGTAAGACATTAACTAAGCAGGAGCAAATATCAAGACCAAGACAAATCCGAGTAAAAGGGAACTAGAAGATGAAGAGCAAAGCCATCGAGACTCAAGTTTGGGGTAATGCTTAGGGAAACTTCTCTGACTAAATTTTAGCATCTAACTCTTTTTTTAACATATGATCATGTCGCATTTATTTTTATAGCTTTTATAGGAAGATTAGACAGATTTAACAGTTTTTGTCTGTGGTTCTATATAAGTTTTCTTTTAAACTAGCCATTGGTTTTATGGATTGTTGTATAAAGTTTTATATATCAGTTTCAGTCTTCGTTTGTAAATAAAGGATGCAATTATAAGCTAACAAAATCAAATCACCATGATTTGATTTCACGTGATTTCAGCAGGAATATCAAAACTGTCATCGACTAAGATCTTCGCTGTCTTTGTAGCTTTCAAATTCCACAGTTTGTTGATTTTGCATCTTGCATAATTTGACATATTGTATGTTTCTTTCATTTTGTGACGATAACGCGATTAATAAGAAAATTAGTTTCTCTCATTTTGTGTTATTTTCAAACAACCCAAAAAGCTTTCTTCCAAATAGCTTAGTGGTAGAAAAAGAAAACGTGAAGTTACCCAGGGCCTGAGACAATATTTCTAAAAAAGAAGAAAATAAATAAGACTCCAAAACAAATTTCGTTACTTGGATAAATGATCAATGTTATTTAGGGACCAGTTTTGGTTTCTTGGATAGTTCATTTGGATGTCCCCAAAGGCGGCCTTTACATACAATGTTGTTTGTGTGGGAACGCAGCAATACAATAACTTTTCATACAGCTAGCAAGAAGATCACATTAACACTATTTTGATTATAAAAAAACCACATTAAACTATTAAATTTTACGTGGTTTGTGAAAGTTTTTATGAAAAGTGAACAAGAACTTATGTTCGTCATGAGCAACATGTTCCATACTTCTGAAGGTTTAGGCTTTTTGACCTTACAACATACACCCACCAGTCACAATAATTTGATTTTTTATTTTGTTTAATACAGTAACAAAGGACATTCGTTTGGCTCTTCTTATCATTTTTCATCCTCTAAAAAGCAGAAAGAAAGTTGAAGTAACAGAAAAGAGATGTGAGGGACATAGGTAAACATGGCTAATATTATTCTTAGTTTATATCGAGAGTACCGACAATTTTTACACCTATCAACATTCAACAATATCGTAGTTTATAAAAACCTAAAAGTTGGCATAAAATACGGACGTTACGTACTTTTTTTTTTATTATGCTTAAACTTTTAGGTATCATCTACACAAGCAAAAAAACCCAAATGTGTACGACAAAGTAAAATGTTTTATTAACAAAACAAAATGTATATATTTTTTTTTAAGTGAACCAAAACAACACGTCATTAAGTTGATGATAACTACAAGTAGAACCAGATGAAGGAGCAGATGGCGAATTGTTGTGCACGTGCATGGCCGTTGACATCGTTAATCTGTTTCTTAGCGATCACCGGAGTGATGGAAACGCCGACCGCCGAAGCCGAAGACTTTAGATCGGACTTTCTCCATGTCCTTCGTAGTCGACGATCAGCCCAAGGTTTTTTTCTTAGTTTATTAATTTTCCTCTCTGTTTTGCCAAAAGAAAGAAGAAGAAAAAGAGTTATCATTTATGTAGATTGATCTCACAAGTTGGTTGTTTCTTTAGATTTCCAATCTCTTAATCACAGAATTAATTTGTTATCTTCCTTAATTGATCTGGATATCTGCTTTTGTTTCGTCTAAATATGAGTTGAAATTTTCCGAAGAATTAAATAGTAAAATCTGGGAATCTGCTTTTTTGCATTTAATGTTTGGCAACAGTTCCATTGATAGCGGAGTGTTCGAAGCCAGTGGAAAGTCCTCTGTTCCAAGCTGATGTTCCACCTACAAAAGTGAGATATGAATCCTCTTTTCTACAAATCTCTATACAAATCCATTCTCTATTTTGATCTGTTTTTTTGATTCATTACCAAACAGGCAATAGAGTCTTGTCCAAAGGAAAACATTAATAACTTAAAAGAGATGCTGAAAGAGGAAAACCTTCATTTGCACACTGAGGTCAATATTTCTAACAAATTTTTCAAGACTTCCTTTATGTGTATGTCCCAAGATTGTTGTTAATGCTATGGAATTAGGCTGGAGAACAAGGAAGATTGCCTTTGCTGATTTTAAGCTTGAAGGAGAGTGGTGAAGAAAGAAGACCAGCGATTGTGTTTATGCATGGCACAAACACAAACAAAGAATGGTTAAGGCCATGGCTTGAAGTAAATAACACTTTTTATGATTTCTCCTAATTCAATAAATCATCCACATTCTTCTCTTGATCATACTAATTTTTCATCTTAAGGCATATGCTTCAAGGGGATATATAGCCATCGGTTTGGACTCTCGGTACCATGGGGAACGTGCTAATAACAGCAAAACTGCCTATCGAGATGTACAATATCATTGTTTCAAATCATTATCTATTACCTATTGAATTTTGTTAATCTTATGGATTCTGACATGGGAGGTTTTGGTGTATATCTCAAAACAGGCTCTTATATCATCTTGGAGAAATGGAAAGACAATGCCTTTCATTTTTGATACTGTAAAAACACTGCCTACTATTTAGTTCCATTTCTCTTGTTCCACTTTTATAGAGTGTAAGGCTTTATTATCGCAGCATCTATGGATGTTTCTTGTTTCAGGTGTGGGATTTGATCAAACTAGCTGAATATCTTACTGAGAGGGAAGATATTGACCCAAAAAGGATAGGAATCACCGGTATCTCTCTAGGAGGTCAGTCATAGAACATGTTTTAGCACCAAAAATCAAGAATGTGCAGCTTTTTGTTAGTAATGTATACTAACTTGTGAAAGCAAAGTACAGGGATGCATGCTTGGTTTGCTGCTGCAGCTGACACTCGATATTCCGTGGCTGTTCCTTTAATCGGTGTTCAGGTGCAAAATCATCCTTTAGTTTCACTTGTTCATTCTTAACCAAATACTGATAAAAAAATGGCAACTAAAGAAGACTATACAGTCTATACTGATTTGTATGAGGACTGTTTCCAAGACTCTTCAAGTTTATAAAGTTCTGTCTGTTGTGCAGGGATTTAGATGGGCAATAGACAATGATGAGTGGGAAGCAAGAGTCAACAGTATCAAGCCTTTATTTGAAGGTCATATTTTGAACACATAAAGAAACACAAAATGAATGAAGATATCTTAAATGAAAATGGATTATAATCCTTTTTTTTTCAATGGTTTCAGCAGCAAGAATTGATCTGGGAAAGAATGAAATCGACAAAGAAGTGGTAGAGAAGGTAAGAAGCATGACAGTGACTATACAAGTCCGGATTGCCACTGAAATGATTGGTTTGGTATTTTCAATGACTCAACAGGTGTGGAACAGAATAGCTCCTGGTCTAGCTTCTCAGTTTGATTCACCCTACTCATTACCAGTGATTGCTCCACGGCCTCTTTACATCCTTAACGGTGAGAACAGTCTAAATCTCTGTACATACAAAGACAAAACTCCTTACAGGTTTTGCTGGATTTTCTTGTGCAGGCGCAAAGGATCCTCGCAATCCTCTTGGTGGACTCGTTGTTCCTTTGGAAAGAGCTGAGAGGGCTTATAAGAAAGCTTCTTCTCCTGGAAATTTCAAGGTAATATCACTGATCTCAATCTATATGTACTTGTGTTACAACGAGACACAGATTTTAAAATGGCTTTTTTGGTGTTTGGTTTTGAGAGAGCAGTTCGTAGCAGAAGATGGAATTGCACATGAGACGACGAGTTTCATGATCAAAGAATCATCAGACTGGTTCGACAAGTTCCTTAAACAAGGAGTCACGCATGACTTGTGATTCAAACTGGTGGTCATGTCCATATGTAACAGTAACAAGAAAATGTAACACCAATAAAATTCATCTTCATAAGAAGAAACATCTCATTGTAAAACCTTACATGTGATAATGTATTCATTCATTTTTCATTACAAATTCAAAGACAACGGAGTTAATCGGCGAAAGAAAGAAAGACAAAGAGAGGATCATCAATCATCATCCTTTCTTAGGCATAGCAGCAAGGCGTGTGTACATGCGTGCCATTGAATTGAACCCTCTCACATCCCCAGACCTTAGAAGATTACCTTCATTAGCAACAAAAGAAGTTTCAACAAAGTATCAAACTTTAAACGCAACTGCATAGTACTATAAACACTGAAACAGAGCTTGTACCTGAGTCGCAGTTAAGAGGACTGTCCGGCTCAGGATGAGCCATCAATGCTATGATCGCTCTACACACTGACTGAAGCGTCCACGCAGGGCTCCACGCGTTCTTCAATATGTCCAGACATATCTCCCCTGTCTACAATACACACACAAATGAGTAGAATAAAACCTCTTTGAATCAACAACAACAATGACATGGTTTTTTACTTTTTACATTACCTTGAAATGCACATTGGGATGGAATATTTTGGTCAAGAACCGAACTTGAGGAGGCTGAAGAGGATATGGCTCAGGAACAGCAAATGCAAGCTGAAACACTCCTCCTTCATAAGGAGTCTCTGATGGTCCCTGTGTTTCCAATAAAAAAACAAGACTTGTTTTCAACAAAGCTTTCACCTTTTTTCCTAACAAAAATTGAGGTTTCTGTGACGAACCTTGATAAGTGCAGTCCATTTGAATATGTTGGTATCATCACACACCAATTGAATATCTGGATCAGCTACTTTCTCTCTCTGAACCTCTTTGTATTCCTTGAACAGTCTCGCTCTTGATGTCTACACATTTAACAAAATGTCAGAAAAAAACGCTTCTTTATTAGTGGATTCGATATCAACACACATAAAATTTGGAATTAGTGATAAGAGAAAAAAGGTGAAACCTGCATGTTTGATTGCTGCTAGTGAAGACAACAATTGCTCAAGAACAGATTTTTAACTGCAAAATTAAACAAAGATTTCGATTGATTCATGAACGTATCACTGTTCTGGAGAAGAAAAAAAACTGAAACAGTAACGAGCTGAAGCTAATTCTTCAATAAGAAACCAATTTCTCAGCAAAACCCAACACAGAACCAACGAAATTAGGAATCAGCTATTAGATCCGGAACGATTCCGGTTAAATCAGTAAAGTCTCTACAAGAACGGAGACAATTGTGTTTTATGAATCTCTGTAAACTGAGATCGGCACAAACCTGGAGAAAAGGAACGAAATTGAGGTTTAGAAACGAAGGATGCGAAATCAATAATTGGGCTAAACAGGAGAAATCGACGAAGCTTTTTACCTGGAAAAATGAGAGAGAAAGAGGATGAACAACAAACGGCGATGAAATGGAACTTTTTACGGCGTGAAGTTTGTTTAACGGCGATTCAAAGGGAGCTTCTGTTTTTATTTTAACGAGACCGAATAAAATCCGACCCGGAATCCAATTGAGTGGAAGTTGGGCCAAGTCTACAACCCGACCCGGAAACCGGTTGTCGATTTGTCGATCTTAATGTAAACCCTAGCTAAGCTAATGTGCCTTCTCCTCCTCTCCGTCCCCTTTTTTCTCGTTCCTCTGTAACCGCGATTTATCAGTGAGACTGTGAATTAGGGAGCGAGATTCTACCGAAAATGGCGAGCAACTACGAGTACGACGATGCTGCTCCGGCGAGCTACGAGGATGTTCAGCGGCAGGGAGGTCAGGACACTGCCTACGACCCGAACTTTGTGCCGGATTCGGTGAAATCGTTCGTGGTTCACATGTACAGACACATTCGGGAGAAGAATGTCTACGAGATCCATCAGATGTGTGAGACGTCGTTCCAGACCTTATCGGAGCGGCTGTTCAAGGATACGCCGTGGCCTTCTGTGGAAGCAATTGCTCCTTTCGTTGACAACGATCACGTTTTCTGTCTTCTGTACCGTGAGATGTGGTTTCGACACTTGTACGCGAGGTTGTCTCCTACGCTGAAGCAGAGGATTGACTCTTATGATAACTATTGCAGCCTATTTCAGGTGTGTGATCCCTCTTTACTCTATATCTCAAGTTATCTTCTTTTTGGATTGGCTTCAATAGAACTAGACATTTTGGTAATGAATTGAGGTGAAATTAAGATGATTTAGCTGTATTGGCGTAAGATAGAGTAAGAATTATAAAATGTTGAGTTCAGTGTTGGAAGTTAAGCTTTTGTTCTATGAAATGTATTTGATTGAGTCTCTTGTTTGTTATATACTGTTTTGGTTGTGGACTGAGCTGAAGAAATGAGTAAGCTTTTGTTATAGTTTTCTGGGAATTTGAGTGAGCTTTGTGTGGTTGGTTGTGGGATTTGGTAGGTGGTGTTGCATGGTGTAGTGAATATGCAGTTGCCGAATCAGTGGTTGTGGGATATGGTGGATGAGTTTGTCTATCAGTTCCAAAGCTTTTGCCAATACCGAGCAAAGATGAAGAACAAAACAGAGCAGGAAATTGCATTGCTCAAACAGCATGAAAAGGTATATTCTTCCTGAGCTATGTTGCATCTGATTGCAATCTACTTAGAAACACTTGTACTTGCTTTCTATCACTAGATAATTAGATAACTATCTGTTTCATCACAGGCATGGAATGTGTATGGAGTGCTCAACTTCTTGCAAGCGCTTGTGGAAAAGTCTACCATCATCCAAATTCTGGAGCAAGAGAAGGAAGGACTTGAGCAATTCACTGCCACTGATGGGTACGATTACAGTGGGGGAAGCAACGTGTTGAAGGTCCTTGGTTACTTCAGCATGGTTGGTCTGTTGCGTGTTCACTGCCTCCTGGGAGATTACCATACTGGTCTGAAATGGTTGCAGCCCATTGACATCACTCAGCAAGGTGTTTACACCAGTGTCATTGGATGCCACATCGCTACTATATATCACTACGGATTTGCCAACCTTATGCTGCGAAGGTATTGCCTCACCCTTTTTCTCTGACACCTGCTTAGCCACTTTCCTCAGGGAAGAAGTTTCTCACACTTTTGATTGGCTTTGGCAGGTATGTAGATGCCGTTCGTGAGTTCAACAAGATTCTCCTCTACATTTACAAGACAAAGCAGTACCATCAGAAATCAGCGCAGTATGAGCAACTACTGAAGAAGAATGAGCAGATGTATGCATTACTTGCGGTTTCCCTCTCGCTCTGCCCTCAAACCAAACTTGTTGATGAGTCTGTCAACTCTCAGCTGCGAGAGAAGTATGGTGAAAAGATGATGAGGATGCAGAGATCCGACGATGAGGCATTTGGGATTTATGATGAGCTCTTCTCTTATGCATGCCCCAAATTCATCACCCCTTCGGCACCAAGTTTCGAAGAACCTCTTGTCAATTACAATCAGGTACCACAGTTTAGCAGTTATGAGAAGACTTGTTTGTTTTAAACGGTTTTGTAACTTTTCCGACTCGGATATCTCAGGATGCATACAGGCTTCAGCTGAAGATGTTCCTATATGAGGTAAAGCAGCAGCAGCTGTTGTCTGGAGTGCGGACATTCCTGAAAGTCTACTCTTCCATCTCTCTTGCTAAGCTTGCAAACTACATGGAAGTTGACGAGCCCACTCTTAGGTGAGGATCCATACTTCTAAGAGTGTCTCAGCAATGTACTTTTTGTGTCGGTCTTTGACATGTAGTAATTTAAAATTGCAGGACCATATTGTTAACATTCAAGCACAAGACTCATTCAGTTGATTCTGAAGGGAAGATAATCTCCAATGCAGACATTGATTTCTACATCAACAATGTACAGTTTTCCTACTTTCTGTATATGTTTTTCCATTGATATACGTTGAGCTCTTAAAAGTAACTTTAAAGCTGGTAAAACTGCAGGACATGATCTACGTTGTGGAATCAAAACCTGCAAAACGTTATGGCGACTTCTTCTTGCGGCAAATTGCCAAGGTATGCAGACTCAATCTAAGAGGTCTGTACAGGCATATGCATATTTGCAGAGACACGAAATGAATCTAAGACAGTTTTTTTGTTTTGTTTTTCGTTGTGCAGCTTGAAGGTGTGATAAACGACATGGACCGCGTCAAGCTGGAATGAGGAATGTCTGTGTTAACCTGAGCTCTCTTGATATTTCTCATCTTTTCAGTTTTGGGAAATAGATCCACTCATTTTTCCACTGAGCGTGGGTGGCATTGTAGAATATCCCGAAAAGATACTTGGATCTCTAGCTCCTTTCGAATTATGTGTCCCTGATTTGCTATGCGAAAGATTAGTTTCATCTTGTTTGCCTTTTGATACAATTGCTTCAGCGGATTCAACCTTTTTCCTTTGCCGATAGAGATAACCAATTTTGTTCCATCTTCAAAAACTTTGATTGTCTTCTCATTGAAAATAAATTTTTGTTAGCTCTAGTTTAAACAGCTGTCTTTAGTTCCTGATTATGGTAACAAATTACGAAAACAGCCGACACAAGAAAAAAAAAAAAAGAGGAAACATGTAAGAAATGGAAGGGGAAGGGTTCTTATAAGTAAATGACGGGGGAAAAAAGCATATTTTGCAAACAAAGCATGAAGAAGACTCGTAAGTTTGGCCGCTGGTCGGAGCTACCAATGGACATGTTGAGATCTGTGTTGGAACTTCTGACTATTAGGGATTTCCACCGCACTAAGATAGCGTGTTGGAATTGGTACTTGTGTTCCAAGCAAATATTGCGGCCAAAATACGGATCTCCTTTGCTCATGTTGTCTACAGAAGAGGGTCGTTGTCATATGTACAGCCCAGGCGAAGATAGGGTTTACGAGACGAAGAGTGACTTTTCAGGGTATCGATTCCTTGGAAGCTCGGGTAGGTGGTTCCTGGCGGCAGATTCTCGATCGCAACTCTCTATTATAGATGTGTTTAGCGACGAGAGGATCGATCTTCCACCTGTGGAGTCGATCAAGGGTGGTCTTTTCAATGTGGAGAGAGTAGGAGAAAACGAGTTCAAGGTTATTAATTAGGAAGGTTGGTTTCTGTCCTGGGGATGTTGAAACTGGGGAAGATCTGAGAGGGGTTTTGTGGGTAGACGAGAAGAATGGAGACTACGTCGTTGTGTGGCAATTTGGCAGTCACGAGTTTCTAGGGTTTTGCAAGAAAGGGGATGATCATTACCGTGAGATTACAACACATATCGGTGTTCCCGTGGATTTAAAGGGCGTATATGATATGGTACTCAAAGGTTACAGTCTTTACGTCCTTACGGTCCATAAGTACATTCGACACCTGGATTTGTCTGGACAAGATGGTTTCAAGGATGTGTCCGAGAACCAAAGATTTCCAGTGAAGACTCGAGATCTGTTTAGCGAAAACATTGTTGTGAAAACATCAGGAGAAGTTTTGTGTGTCCGTAGCAAAGTTCACGAGACGTCAAGCTTTACAAGGCGTAGGACGTTCCACGTCTACAACACGTATCCAGAAGATCGAGACCCGGGTACCTACTACTACGACGGCGACATTGAGTTAAAATCTCTACGTGGTGAGGCATTGTTTTTGGATTTGGGTATCCCAGTGAAAGTGGCTCCTGACCATTCCCTTGGTATCGAGCCAAACTCCATCTATTTCAGCCGCGGTGACCGTTACTGTCACAAGAAAGTTTCATGCCTCGACATGTGTGTGTACAATCTTGCAACAAAGACCAGCAAACCCTTCCCCGGTCTCTCCAACTTGAAAGTCAAGGATGCTCTGTGGTTTCTCCCTCGGTGACTCCTATCTTTCTTTCTTGCTTCTGCATTCTTGTCTTGTCAAGACACTTCCAGACTCTCTTTTTAATCCTCCTTTCTCCTTTGATATATGATCTATGATATTAATGCCGGTGTTAATGCGCCAAAGTTTAGATCATTACTTCATATCAAATCTTGCATTAGTAAAAACTTATAAGAATATGCCTTTAATTTGAAGGTAAAAATAATATTAGTTGTGTACACCGCCATGCCGAAACCAAGTACCTTGCAACAAAAGCAATTGTAATGTGAGATACTAGTAAGCAAGAAGAGGTGTTTTAACTTTTGTAATATTCTACTGTGCCATACTCAATGGAAAAATGAGAATCGTTCATAACATATACGATATATTTACACCAAAAAAAGAGGATCTATGTCTTGAACTGAAAAGATGAGAAAAAATGCTACATCTTTTTACTTAAAGAAAAGAGCTTCTCAAAAGTTTGGTTGAAAGTAAATTTATGGTTATAGGAAAGCATGAAAGGCACATAAATTGAGCAGAGAGATGAAGGTAACACAGATAATTCCTAATTCCAGCTTGACACGATCCATGTCATGTCAGTTTATCACACCTTCAAGCTGCACAAAAAAAAAAAAAACAGTCGGATTCTTATCAATGAATGCAAGCATGCATATGCCTGTGCACAAACAATTGATTCATTTTGCATACCGTGGCGATTTTCCGCAAGAAGAAATCGCCATAAGGTTTTGCATGTTTTCATTCCACAATGTAGCTCAACAATCCCTGTGTGTTATCTATGTGTTATCTGCGTTAGGTAAGACTATTGATCCAAAGTATGGAAGCAGCTAATACACAATCCCTGGTTGTCTCCAACTCATTGGTTAGTCTTCTCTTTTGTTCCAAAGTATGGAAGCAGCTAACGCAAACACACAGCCGACACAAGAAGAAAAAAGGGAAACACGTAAAAAATGGAAGGAAAATTTCTTATAATTAAGTAAATCACGGGGAAAAACAAGTCTTGGGAACAAAGCATGAAGACTCCTAATTATGGCCGCTGGTCGGAGCTACCTATGGACATGTTGGGATCTGTGTTGGAAAGTTTGAGTATTAGGGATTTCCACCGGGCTAAGATGGTGTGTTCGAATTGGTACTTGTGTTCCAAGCAAATGTGGCGGCCAAAATACGGATCTCCGTTGCTGATGTTGTCTCCAGAAGAGGATCGTTGTCGTATGTACAGCCCAGGGGATGATAGGGTTTACGAGACGAAGAAGAGTGATTTTTCAGGGTATCGATTCCTGGGAAGCTCGGGTACGTGGTTCCTGGCGGTAGATTCACGTTTGAAACTCTCTATTATAGATGTTTTTAGCGACGAGAGGATCGATCTTCCACCTCTGGAGTCCATCAAGGATGGCCGTTTTAGTGTGGAGCGAGTAGGAGATAAGGGATTCACGGTTACTCTACTTAAGACCGGTTTCTCTTCTGTGAGGATTAATGTAACTGTCGAACATATGATAGGTGTTTTGTGGGTAGACGACAAGAATAGAGACTACGTCGTTGTGTGGCAATTTGAACGTGACCGATTTTTAAGGTTTTGCAAGAAAGGGGATGATCATTACCGTCACATTAACACACTAGTCGATCTTCGCTCGGAGTTACGAGGCGGATACGATATGGTACTCAAAGGTTACATGCTTTACTTCTTTGCGAACGGTGACTACATTCAACACCTGGATTTGTCTGGAGAAGATGGTTTCAAGGATTTGTCCGAGAACCATAGGTTTCCGAGGAGAGTGTCAGATCTGAGTTTTAGGGATGAGTATGAAACACTCAGAGCAATTAAGGTCATCTCAGGTAGCTATAACATGGCTGTTACTACATCAGGATAAGTTTTGTATGTCCATAGCAAAATTTACGAGACGTCAACCTTGGAGAGGCCTAGGATGTTCCACGTGTACAAGAGGGATCCAGAAGACCTAAACCCGAATACCTACGACACTAGGCTTGTTGAGGTATATTCCCTAGGTGATGAAGCCCTTTTTCTGGATTTAGGCACAACCGTGAAAGTGGCTGCTGATCATGCTCTTGGTATCGAGCCAAACTCCATCTATTTCACACGTGGTGACCGTTACCGTCACAAGAAAGTTTCATGCCTCGACATCGGTGTCTTCAATCTTGCAACAAAGAATATCAAACGCTTCCCCGGTCTCTCCAACTTGAATGTCAATGATGCTCAATGGTTTCTCCCTCGGTGACCTCGTTTGCTTTCTTTCTTAATTTCTTCTGCATGCTTGTCTTGTCAAGACATTTCTAGACTCTTTATTTTATCCTCTTTTCTCTTTTGATATATGATCTATGATAATGCCGGTGTTTATATATCTTAAGAACAATGTTCCATTTTTAGATCATCACTCCAGATCAAATCTATCATACTCGTTGGAAGAATTAGTAAAAAGTTATAAGAATATGCATGCCTTTGAAGGTAAAAATAATAATATTTGTGTACACCGCCATGCAGAACCCAAGTAGTACCTTGCGGCAAAAGAAAATGTGATGTGAGATACTACTATACTAGTAAGCAAGAATAATGAGAATCTTTCACAACATAGATGATTACGCCAAAAAAAGAGGATCTATGTTCTTGAATTCAAAAGATGAGAAAAAATGCTACACCATTTTACTTAATGAAAAGAGCTTCTCAAAAGTTTGGTTCTAAGTAAATTTATGGTTATAGAAAGCATGAAAGGCACATCAATTGAGCAGAGAGATTAAGGTAACACAGAAAATTTATAATTCCAGCTTGACATGTCAGTTTATCACACCTTCAAGCTGCACAAGAAAAAACAAAAAAAAAACAGTCGGATTATTTTATCAATGAATGCAAGTATGCATATGCCTATGTCACACACCTTAGATTCATTTTGCATACCTTGGCGATTTTCCGCAAGAAGAAATCGCCATAACGTTTTGCATGTTTTGATTGCATAATGTAGTTTAACTTATCGTATGTGTTATCTGCGTTAGGTAAGAGTAAGACTATTGATCTTCAAACAGTTTGATTGTCTCCATCTCGTTAACCTTCTTTACTTTTTGATAAACATTATGGGAGCAGTTTACGTAAACACACAGCCGACAAAGATAAAATAAAAAAGTAAATACTTAAAATATGGAAGGAGAAAATTGTTTATAAGAAATCACGGAAAAAAACAAGTCTTGCAAACAAAGCATGGAGACTCGTAATTATGGCCGCTGGTCGGAGCTCCCTACGGACATGTTGACATCTCTATTGGAACGTTTGAGTGTTGTGGATTTCCAGCGTTCTAAGTTGGTGTGTTCAAATTGGTATTTGTGCTCGAAACAAACGGTCCGGCCAAAACACGGACCTCCATTGCTGATGCTGTCTCTAGAAGAGGATGGTTGCGTACTGTACAGCCCAGACGAAGATAGGGTTTACGAGACGACGACCAATAGTGACTTTTTAGGGTATCGATTCCTTGCAAGCTCAGGTAAGTGGTTCCTTGTGGGAGATTCCCTATCAAAACTCTATATTATAGATGTGTTTAGCGAGGAGAGGATCGATCTTCCACCTCTAGAGTCAACCGAGGGTGGCCCTTTTAGACTTGAGCGAAAAGGAGCTAAGGAATTCAACGAGGAATCAGTAATTATTAATGGTTGCAACACTTGTAGAATTGTTGACCACGAGGATCTGAGAGGTGTTTTGTGGGTAGACGACAAGAATGGAGACTACGTTGTTGTCTGGCAATTTGGTGGCAGTGACGAATATTTAGGGTTTTGCAAGAAAGGGGATGATCGTTACCGTGAGATTCCAACACGGATCGGTGTACAAGGCCTAGATGATATGGTACTCAAAGGTTACAATCTTTACGTCCTTACGAGCCGTCATTACATTCGACACCTAGATTTGTCTAGACAAGATGGTTTCAAAGATGTGTCCGAGAACCATATGTTTCCATTGAGGCTGCCAAATGTGAGTTGGGATGAATATGCTAGACTAAGAGCAAATAAGGTAATCTCAAGCAACCGTTGCATTGCTGTTACAACATCAGGAGAGGTTTTGTATGTCATTACCATAGCTTGCGAGACGTCAATGATCTTCCACGTGTACAAGAGGGATCCTAAGGATCTAGACCCGAATACACACGACACAAGGCTTGTTCACGTAGATTCTCTAGGTGATGAAGCGCTGTTTCTTGATTTGGGTATCACCGTGAAAGTGGCTGCTGACCATACTCTTGGTATTGAGCCAAACTCCATCTATTTCACACGTGGTGACCGTATCCGTCGCAAGAAAGTTACATGCCTCGATTTATGTGTGTACAATCTTGCAACAAAGACCATCATCAATGATTACCAAAACAAAACAAAGACCATCAAACGCTTCCTCGGTCTCTGCAATTTAAACGTCAAGGATGCTCAGTGGTTTCTCCCTCGGTGACTCCTTGCTTTGTGTTTTTTTCTGCTGCATTCTGGTGTTCTTACGACATTTCCAGACTCTGTCTGCTTTTTGTTATCCTCTTTTTTTCTTCTGATATATAATCTTATGTTCCAAAGTTTAGATCAAAAAATCATCATACTCGTTGGAAGCATTAGTAAAAAGTTAACAAAATAGGCATCCAAGTACCTTGCGAGAAAAGAAATTGTGATGTGAGATTCTAGTGCGCAAGTAGAAGAGATGTTTTAACTTTTGGGATTTTCTACATTGCCACACTCAATGGAAAAGTGAGAATCTCTCATAACATAGATGATTACACCAAAAAAGAAGAGGATCTATTTCTTGAATTCAAAGGATGAGAAAAATTCTACACCATCAACACAGTGCTTCTAAAAAAATTTTGTTTTCAGTAAATTTATGGTTATAGAAAGCATGAAAAGGCAAATCAACTGAGCAGAGAGCTCAAGGTGACGCAGACAACTCCTCATTCCAGCTTGACGCGGTCCATGTCGTTTATCACACCTTCAAGCTGCACAACGAAAAACAAAACAAAAAAACTGTCTTAGATTCATTTCGTGTCTCTGCAAATATGCATATGCCTGTACAGACCTCTTAGATTGAGTCTGCATACCTTGGCAATTTGCCGCAAGAAGAAGTCGCCATAACGTTTTGCAGGTTTTGATTCCACAACGTAGATCATGTCCTGCAGTTTTACCAGCTTTAAAGTTACTTTTAAGAGCTCAACGTATATCAATGGAAAAACATATACAGAAAGTAGGAAAACTGTACATTGTTGATGTAGAAATCAATGTCTGCATTGGAGATTATCTTCCCTTCAGAATCAACTGAATGAGTCTTGTGCTTGAATGTTAACAATATGGTCCTGCAATTTTAAATTACTACATGTCAAAGACCGACACAAAAAGTACATTGCTGAGACACTCTTAGAAGTATGGATCCTCACCTAAGAGTGGGCTCGTCAACTTCCATGTAGTTTGCAAGCTTAGCAAGAGAGATGGAAGAGTAGACTTTCAGGAATGTCCGCACTCCAGACAACAGCTGCTGCTGCTTTACCTCATATAGGAACATCTTCAGCTGAAGCCTGTATGCATCCTGAGATATCCGAGTCGGAAAAGTTACAAAACCGTTTAAAACAAACAAGTCTTCTCATAACTGCTAAACTGTGGTACCTGATTGTAATTGACAAGAGGTTCTTCGAAACTTGGTGCCGAAGGGGTGATGAATTTGGGGCATGCATAAGAGAAGAGCTCATCATAAATCCCAAATGCCTCATCGTCGGATCTCTGCATCCTCATCATCTTTTCACCATACTTCTCTCGCAGCTGAGAGTTGACAGACTCATCAACAAGTTTGGTTTGAGGGCAGAGCGAGAGGGAAACCGCAAGTAATGCATACATCTGCTCATTCTTCTTCAGTAGTTGCTCATACTGCGCTGATTTCTGATGGTACTGCTTTGTCTTGTAAATGTAGAGGAGAATCTTGTTGAACTCACGAACGGCATCTACATACCTGCCAAAGCCAATCAAAAGTGTGAGAAACTTCTTCCCTGAGGAAAGTGGCTAAGCAGGTGTCAGAGAAAAAGGGTGAGGCAATACCTTCGCAGCATAAGGTTGGCAAATCCGTAGTGATATATAGTAGCGATGTGGCATCCAATGACACTGGTGTAAACACCTTGCTGAGTGATGTCAATGGGCTGCAACCATTTCAGACCAGTATGGTAATCTCCCAGGAGGCAGTGAACACGCAACAGACCAACCATGCTGAAGTAACCAAGGACCTTCAACACGTTGCTTCCCCCACTGTAATCGTACCCATCAGTGGCAGTGAATTGCTCAAGTCCTTCCTTCTCTTGCTCCAGAATTTGGATGATGGTAGACTTTTCCACAAGCGCTTGCAAGAAGTTGAGCACTCCATACACATTCCATGCCTGTGATGAAACAGATAGTTATCTAATTATCTAGTGATAGAAAGCAAGTACAAGTGTTTCTAAGTAGATTGCAATCAGATGCAACATAGCTCAGGAAGAATATACCTTTTCATGCTGTTTGAGCAATGCAATTTCCTGCTCTGTTTTGTTCTTCATCTTTGCTCGGTATTGGCAAAAGCTTTGGAACTGATAGACAAACTCATCCACCATATCCCACAACCACTGATTCGGCAACTGCATATTCACTACACCATGCAACACCACCTACCAAATCCCACAACCAACCACACAAAGCTCACTCAAATTCCCAGAAAACTATAACAAAAGCTTACTCATTTCTTCAGCTCAGTCCACAACCAAAACAGTATATAACAAACAAGAGACTCAATCAAATACATTTCATAGAACAAAAGCTTAACTTCCAACACTGAACTCAACATTTTATAATTCTTACTCTATCTTACGCCAATACAGCTAAATCATCTTAATTTCACCTCAATTCATTACCAAAATGTCTAGTTCTATTGAAGCCAATCCAAAAAGAAGATAACTTGAGATATAGAGTAAAGAGGGATCACACACCTGAAATAGGCTGCAATAGTTATCATAAGAGTCAATCCTCTGCTTCAGCGTAGGAGACAACCTCGCATACAAGTGCCGAAACCACATCTCACGGTACAGTAGACAGAAAACGTGATCATTGTCAACGAAAGGAGCAATGGCTTCCACAGACGGCCACGGCGTATCCTTGAACAGCCGCTCCGATAAGGTCTGGAACGACGTCTCACACATCTGATGGATCTCGTAGACATTCTTCTCCCGAATGTGTCTGTACATGTGAACCACGAACGATTTCACCGAATCCGGCACAAAGTTCGGGTCGTAGGCAGTGTCCTGACCTCCCTGCCGCTGAACATCCTCGTAGCTCGCCGGAGCAGCATCGTCGTACTCGTAGCCGCTCGCCATGACTAATTGCTGTTTCACTGTGATTTCAGAAGACCGAAACGGAGAAGAAGATGTGTGACGGAAGAAGAAAGATCACTTTAGATTTTAGGGTTTACAGAAGAAGATCGATAACCGGTTTTTTCATTCAATTCGTTTGGTTTTTTGAAATTTCGATTTAGCTTGGTATAAAGCTGTTGTTTATTTATTATACCGAATTAGACCAAAACCAAATCGGAATTTTCAATTTGTCCTCCGGAAAATGTCACAGCTTCTTCACCTTCATCGTCTCTCCCTCCCACAATCTTCTCTTCGTCTCAGATTCTCGCCTCTACCTTCCTTACATCGCCGCCGTGAAACTCCGTCGCTGAAACCATCTGCCAACTGTCCCCTCTCCTTCACTGAATCCACCGTGCTTCGTCCTCTCACAGTTGCCAAATCTCGGATAGCTTGCAGATTCAGCAAATCCGGTGAGATTTTACCTCATTTCAGTTTTCAATCTATTAATGCTTTACTTCATAGCTCAAAATTTGGATTTTTGATACTCCAAGGACAATTGTGATAAATCTTCTTGTTCAGTGGAATCGTACTGATGCTGTGTTCATTTGTTTATCATGAATGGTTCGACTTATTTCAGACATTACGCCACAATTTGAGGTGAGTAAAGCAGAAGAGAAGCGGAAACCACAAAAGCAGGCCAATGGCATATTTTGGATCATACTTATCAATCTTGGCATTTATGTGGCAGATCACTTCTTTCAGGTATCGAACGTGTGGTTGTATGTATAGTTGACCAAATGTTAAGCTTAGGTTGCTGTTGCTATCTTTCACATTGTATAATACGTTTTATATAATTTATTCAATAGGTTCCCAGTATCAAAGCTCTCTACTTGTATCACAATTTTCCGGAGTGGTACCAGTTTGTGACTGCAACGTTCTGTCATGCTAACTGGTGAGAGCTCTACGTATTTCTTTAGTTATTCCATCTGAGGTTTTTTCTGGCTGATGGTGAACTTCTTGATTGTTATTACTTTTTTCTTCTGTATATATATTCCAGGAACCATCTCTCCAGCAATCTTTTTTTCTTGTACATCTTTGGTGAGAGTTCAAGATTTTCTCATAGTTTGACTAGATAAGTTATTAATTCAGAGCTAATGGACAATGGGACTCGTCTTGTTGTTAACAGGAAAGCTAGTTGAAGAAGAAGAAGGAAATTTTGGATTGTGGCTTTCTTACATTGTCACTGGCGTTGGAGCTAACCTGGTTTCTTGGTTAGTTTTACCGAGAAATGCAGTCTCTGTTGGAGCCTCGGGAGCTGTTTTTGGGTTATTTGCTATCAGCGTCCTCGTCAAGGTACTGCATTTCTCTTCTCTCATTGTTCCAGGTCCTTGTAACTCAACAGCTTTCTAAGTTTTCATCTTCTTTTTAAAAACTGATATTGTAGATGTCTTGGGACTGGAGGAAAATCCTTGAAGTTCTTATATTGGGTCAGTTCGTTATTGAGAGGGTAAGAATCATTCAACTTTTACGCACATCATCAGTATGGTTATAAGTTATAACTGGTATCATTCAACTTGCATTCCCATTTTCTTATGGCTATTATATGCCTGTATCATACAATATATAAAAGAAAATGTCTTAGGATTTTACAAGTGATGGTAGAATTCAGGGGTTGGTAATTGCTAAGTTCATTGATTCTCATAGGTAATGGAAGCAGCTCAGGCTTCAGCTGGATTATCAGGAACTATATATGGTGGCTATTCTTTGCAGACTGTTAATCACATTGCGCATCTCTCCGGTGCTCTTGTTGGTGTTGTCTTAGTTTGGCTTCTCAGCAAATTTCCCTCGGGACCTACGGATCAAGAGGTTAAATAATCTCCCCCAAAAATGAGGCGAATTATTACCTTCGTGTCAGGTACATAATAGCTGTCCAATATACTCAAGGCTGATGAACTACTGGTAGATTAAAAAACCTTTGTATAACTGAAGATCAGGCTCTAAGCCGAGTTTCTGTAAGTACCAATTCTTTTGCAGAATTATATATCACTGGTTTTTTTATGTTATGCTCATTAAGAAGTTTTTCTCCAAATCTGTGTCTACAGCTACTAGAAACGGAAACTGTACAATAGATTATATAAGACCACTGTTGTGTAATGTACATATAGCGAGTTCTCACATTATTGAACTCTTAAAATTCAACAGAATAATAGAAAATCAGATATCTGGCTTCAGCCAATTCTGGTTTTGTCCTTTCAGTTTAAGAACACTGTACAAGACTGCACAAATTGCCCACTGATCCCAAACTGTCCTTGAGACTGCTTCTGGCATATTATAGGCACTCGAGCTCCGAGTTTGCAAGCAGAGAGATTCATGGCTTTTGCAGTTGGAAGCTCACGTTTCCCAACTGGAATCTGCAACAGGTTAAAGTTCCCAGAAGACGGTTTCTGGTAAAGCTTCTCTAACCTCGCGATCTCCACGTCTTTACATTTCAACGCGTTGATCGCTTTGTTCGACTCATCACTGAGTCCTGCAACACGCCAAGCTTCTGCTAACAGCAGGAAGGTGGAATTCTCAGGCTTCACTCCAGATCCTCTCATCATCTGCAGAACCTCTTCCGCTTTCCATGGCTGCTTCATTTCCAGGTAACCCCACATGAGCGTCTCAAACGTCTTTATATTTGGCAACACCCCGAACTCGCACATCTTGTTGAACACCCTCATTGCATCATCCATACTTCCGCTGCTACACCACCCACTGATCACCGTGGTGAAGATCACAACGTTAGGCCTGGCTTCAACCATCGTCTCAAGAAGCTCCTCAGCTTTCTCGGTGTTTTTAGCCCTGACGTAACCTTTGGCCAAAATGCTGTAAGCATGAGCGTCTGGTTTGACTCCTGCTTTAACCATTTCTTCAAACACTTGTGCAGCTTTCTCCATGTATCCAGCTGAGCTCCAAGCATTCATCACAGTGCTGTATGTGATTACATCTGCCTTCACCTTACACTCCTTCATCAAAGTAAGAACCTCATCGATGCCATCACGGTCCATGACCTCAACGAAGCCTTTGATCAAGGAATTGAAGACCACGAGGTTCGCTTCAACTCTCATTTCCTTCATCCTCCTCACAAACCTCAAACCATCTCTCACTTTCCCTTCTCTAACATACCCTCCCACCACTATCCCACACGTTCTTCCGTTCGGTTTAGCGGCCTTCTCCTTCGTAACCATCTTCTCCACCACCTCCCTCTCAGCGCTCTTGCTCTCTCCTGTCTGCACATAACAAGTTGCGATCGTGTTATACGTCACTGTGTCCGGCTTCACTCCACACTCTTCCATCTTATGCACCACTTTCCACGCCTCCTCCACTTGCTTCTTCTTGCACCACGCTTGCACCAGCACATTGAACGTCCTTATATTCGGTCTAACATCGATGCTCTTCTCCTCCAGCATCAGATCCAGCAGCTCGGACGATCTCTCAGGCCTGCCTGCAATCCCATACCCTTTGATCAAAGTGTTGTACGTGCTCGTGGTCGGATTCAAACCAAGCTTCTTCATTTTCAACAGAGCCTGCACTGCCTCTTCTATGTTACCAGACTCAGAGAAAGCGTTGATGACAGCGTTGAAGAAGATCGAGTCAGGCATTGTCCCGCTCTGTTCCACCTCTGAGACTATAGAGCTTATGGAACCGTACTGCTTCTGGACCGTCATCGCAGCGAGGAGAGTTGTGTAAGTGATCAAGGAGGGTCTGTGTCCTGTCTCTGGCAATGTTTTGAAAACGGTTTGGGCCTCGTGAGGACGTCCACGTTCGATCAAAACGTTCATCAGCTTCGTTCTTGACCTCACCGTCCTGCAACTGCTTCCTTCACCGCATGACTTGCACCGATGATACTCTCCTCCTTTGTTTACTGTAGTCTGCAAGAAGAGTTTAAAGCAATGGTCTTGAGGGACATAGCTCTAATAACAGCAATAAACTCGTCCAAAATTATTCGGAGAGACAAAACCAAGTGTTCAAAATTAAGACAAGAACTCGAATAAGCTGACAACAAGAATTGGGTATCTCTATATATCCGGATATCAGCATACTCAAATCAAGCAAATTGGATAGTGAGTCGATGTTCGAAATGGTTCGGCTAAAGTTGCAAATTCGAGAGCTTGTTACCTGAATCGGCGTCGATCTTTCAGCATCAGACATAACAGGAGCTTTCGTGTCCTTGAAATCTCCCATGTTTTGTCGGGAAAGAATCTGCCTCTGCAACGAATAAAATGTAAATAAAAGGTTTCAAATGAAAGATGGAGTAAAATTTCAAGAGAACGAAACTAAGAAACGCCACCTGTCTTTCACTTCTCATGTTCTCGAGGCCATAGAAGTATGTGTGAGACTGTGAGAGAGAGAGATAGGGTCCATAGAAAAAGGAAAATATATAAAAAGGGATTAAATTCTGATAAGGAGGACAACGAAACTAGATAAGGCAACCCAAAGACAATAAATTTTTGAGAATTTTTGTTTGCTTTGCTGTCCACAAATGTTTTTTTTTTTTGTTTTTTTTGGGTGATATTAAAATGTGAAATAAATATTTCTTTCATCTTCTCTCTTATCTTTATCTCCTTTTATGTTATTTTATTTTTTACATCTCAGTATTTTTTTCTCGTAAAAATCTATATTTCTTGAGGATTGTTTTAACTTTGAAGGCCCAAAATGTACTACGCAGGCCCAACCCAATCGAATTTCAATAGTGAAACCATTAGCTGGACAACACGTCGTTCAAACGAAAGTATATTAACGTCGAGACGTTCGTTATTCAGAACGTGAAACGGCAAGACAGCATTGACTCAATCTAGAAACAAACAAGTTTCAATTTCTTCCAAGTGAATATTCAATATCTTGTAAGGCAGCATTTAAAATTCAATTCTATATACACATTTTATATGTCTGTCTCGGTCAAATTGCCTTCAGAATTAAGGAGTTCTGTCACCTGATTATATCGACAGCCTTTCTTGGCTTGAGTGCCCAGAGTTAATTAGATAATTATAAAACACTAAACATTGACATCAGCAAGCGGGGATAGCTCAGTTGGGAGAGCGTCAGACTGAAGATCTGAAGGTCGCGTGTTCGATCCACGCTCACCGCATTTTTCCTCTTTTTTTAATTTATTTTGAAGACCAATTTCGTCTATCATCTTCATGTCCAGCTAAAGAAAGCATTTGAAAACAAAAATATATATTATCCACTTCTCTGTCCTTTTATTTTATAGATGGACAAAATTCTTGTCATCGTTTTTCAAAATATTTTTATAAAGATTATTTTCAAACGATCAAGCATTCAAAATGTATTTAAACTTTTAGAAAGAAAAAAAAGTTTCCAAATGGAGGATGAGTGTGATCTGGTAGTCCACCCACTTAAATTAACGATACATAATTGGTTGATTAAAACAAAAATAGAAATGATATAGACATAATAGTAATTTGTCTAATCTCTTAGACCTAAGGGGACTTGTATTTGGCATGAGCAGATTGGATCACCTTCCAACTACCCAACGATACAAAGCTCTCCAATACTTGGCAAAGACCAATATATGCAACCACCATCCATTAATTTTGGTTGTTCGATTTCTATTATTATATTACCAATTGATGTCACACTACACAATAATCTATTTTCCATTTGAATTTTGACAATGCGCTGACTGTTGTTTAAAGACGTGGATATGTGTAGCCGTACATGCAGACGAAGGATCGTTGTTTCGACACATCATCTTCTACTATGAACTATTTATGTTAATGGCTCCAATCAAATTATAGTCCAATCATCAATAAAGCACTAGATTCCAATGTTTAATACTTTAATTCAAGAATACGTCCATGTCTATTCCATGTCCATGTCTATTCTGGTTATTAAAATTTAGTCCAATATTGCTTACTGCTTAGTTAAATCAATGACAATAAATTAGGTCAATGACTAATCTTGTTATGAAAAAGACGTATGTATATATTCATGTAGATTTTTTTTTCCCTAGAGATTGAAGCACATATTTGACTTTGTACTCGATTTCATGGAATTGATATTTTTAATAGTAGAAATATGCTTTCTTAAATGTGTTTTCCAAAGTGAAACAGAGTTATATATACTTTTTTAGGTATAAAATTATACAACTCCGCTTTTTTCGCGCGTCAATCTTCAAAAAATCGGCTGGAAGAAGTTTTGTCAAAAAATGTCATGTCCTTCACTTTAACATATAACATGTCATTTTGCCATTTTTTGTTCTAAATGTGGTTATTCAACATATCAACCCTAAAAATGTAGAGGGATTTTACGGTTTTCTTTTTTGTTCTTTGAGGAAAAAAAGGCTTCTCTCTCACCTTGATTTCTGTTTGGAACAATTTTGTTGTTGTTGGGGAAGTTGACTATGAGCTTCGAGTGTTCGACCCGGATGTTTAACATGGTCTCCATTCCTACATCAGTTTTGTCAACGAATGCGTCTCGGGCTGGATTAAGCAACCTAAACAAACTACCTTTAGATTAGTGTAGCAATAAACTACAAAAAACGACAAATTTGTTAAGCGTATTTATTAGATAAAGAGCAGAACAAGAAAGAGTTATTGTCGGGGTTGTCACTATTTAGTTAATAGTGCTTTTGGCCATGGTTTGCTAGTTTGATGATCTTGATTCCTATCATTGACTCGGATAAAGGTAAATTCGTAAGTACTCGCATACTTGACCTATAACCGACTATAATTATAAGGACGAATCATGATCAATATCTTGTCATCCCTTCGAGAGAGCCTCAAGGCCTGCTTACTCGAAGGTATTTTCCATCAAATTGTTAGTATACACAATGCGTTAACTGTCAACCAAAACCAGTAGTAAGCTAATAAACT